TAGACCTCAGGACCATGCCCTGAGCCAAAGGCAGACACTCAACCCTTGAACCACCCAGGGATCCCTCTTTTATTTCTTTATATCATCTTTAACTGCTCCGTGTAGTGGTCCTACATATTAAACTTATTTCTAGATATATATATTTTTTGATGCTACTATAAATAGTATGTTAAAATCTGTTGCTGATGTACACAAATACAACTGATTATTATATTCAGAAAATTTGCTAAATTCCATAATATTCTTTTGTATATTTTTTAGGATTTTTGTATGTACATCATGTTGTCTACAATGACAGCTTCTTTTTTTCTTTTTCTTTTTCCTATCCTTATATTATTGGGGACTTACTATATTTGGTTAAGACCTGAAGTACAATGTTAAATAGAAGTGATAGCAAACATCCTTGTTTTTCCTGATCTCAAAGGGAGTGCTTTCCTCATTTCTTGTTCTATATGCTGTTTGGTATAGGGTTGGTTTTTTGTTTTTTGAGGGTTTCTGTAAGATTTATTTCAGAGAGAGAGTGTGCCTCAAGGTCAGGATGGGGGAGGGAGAGAGAGTCTCAAGCAGATGTTGCACGAGTGCAAAGCCCATTGTGGGGCTCAGTCCCACAACCCTGAGATCACAACCTGAGCCAAAACCAGGAGTTGGCCACTGAACTGACTGAGCCACCCCAGCACCCCTGATACAGGTTTTTTGTAGATAGGAAGTTCCTTTTTCAAATTTTTGAGATTTGCTTTGTGGCCCAGCACATGTTCAGTTTGGTAAATGTTTCAGCTTCATTTGAGAAATTTTATAAAGTGCTCACTTATGATTTATATTCCTTGGAATTTGTCATGTGGCTTGATGTCTTTTGATGGTTTTGAAACACCTCAACCATTTTCTTTTCAGATGTTGTTCTGCCCTATTTTCTTTCTTTTCTTGGTGTCCAGGACACGTTAGACCTTTTCTGTTGGTCCCATTTCTGTCTGTGTTTCCCATCCTTTTGTCTCCTCACCTCCAGTACTTCCCTGGTTCAGTTTACAGATTTTCTTTAGCTTTGTGCTATTTTAGCTGATCCATCACATTCTTAAAGCATTATTGTTATCTTTCTTAGGCTTATCTGCCAGAATTTTCCATGTTGTCATTTAAAGTATTATAATAATATTCCAAAGTCTTGTTCAGTAACTCCGGTATTTGAATCTTCTGTGATCTATTTCTGATGCCTGCTTTTTTCCTCTGGGGGATTGAGTGAGTACTACTTTCTTATATACTTGATTTTTGTTGTTGCTTTTTTATGTTAGACATTGGGGAAAAAAATGTAATGGTGACTTGAAGCTCTGAATGATGGTATCTTTCTCCAGAGAGGTTTTGCTTTTTTATTTTACCTCTGGCAGTAGCTAGGATAGGGGCAGATTACTTCTGTCTGGGTGGACTTGACATGATTCTGAGGTGGTTGTCGGTTCTTATGAGGGTTTATTTCTGATTTCCCCTGTATCCCCACTTGTAGTCTTGGGAATCCAAAAGAAAAGCTTTAGGTCTGGTTAGGGCCCCTATACTTTGGAAAGCCCTGAATTCATTTTTGTCTTTCCAACCATGTGAGACTGCCAAAAGCTTTTCTCAAGCTCTCAACTGCAGCTTTTAATTTTGGAAATGGCAGTCACCATGAGAGAAAAAGGGAGACCTAAAGGTGAGAGCTCACCCCTTGGCTCCTCTTCTCATCTCTGTGATGTCTCACCACCCTAGTTAGCTCTTCCTTACTGCCATGCCTTCACACGGTTGGAGCTCACACCTTCTTCAGCATTTGCTATCATCCCTAGCAGGAGTGTGGCTCTTGAACAACACAGCCACTGCCTGAAAGAGGGTCAGAGTTTATTATAAGTGCCCTCACTCATTGTGGAGCATGTGACCCCCTGCGGGAAATACACCCACTGATGCTAATTGCTATTTGGTGTTCTAAGTAGTGACCAGTGCCCTGTTAACGTGTGGTCTTTGCATGTAGAAGTTCTCAGAAGTAGGTCTTAGAAACAGGAGTTTAATATGAAAGTTCTTTATGTTGAAACTTCTCTTAAAAAAAAAATGTACTGAGGTAGTGATTATCTTCAGTAATCAGTATAGGCTACAGGCCTAATATTTGATGCAAATGACAGTAGAGATCTTTGACTTAACTGTATTTTTCCAGGGGGACACTAGGAAATACCCAGATCTACAGCCATCCAAACTAGAAATTCTAGCTTTGAATTATTTCAAATAATATTTATAGTGAAATTATTACACATGTTGGATGGGGACCAGTTATTGAAAAAACGAGCTGTCCTCTAACCTCTTTGTGTACAGCATTGATCTCTCCATGTGTCTTAGAAGACTTATTTTCCAAAGTAGGAATATTTACCATTGCCTTCGGCACTTCAAACTCTAGCTTGCCTCTCTGGCCTTGTCCCCAGTTGTTCCTTTCTATGTTCTCTGTATCAGCCAGCCCAGGATATTTATTATCTTCTTGGAGCACTTGATACTTCCCTACAGCCTTCCTTTCCTTGTTCTGTTCCTGCTGTGGGATGATGTGTCCATTCTGTCATGAGCCTGTACAGCTTGTCTGTCTTCAGGAGCTTTTTGGGAAGTCATGAAAGGCTCTCAGACATCACCTCCATCCCGTACCAATTCTTCTCACCAGCTCTACATCCTGTCTCTTCTGGGGCTCCCGTGCAGAGACCTCTGTTACCTTTTGACTGTTACAGTCAATTAGTGTACTCTCTTGTCTCTTTTCCACATTGTAAATTTCTTGGTGATGGAGTGCTCTTGCTCATCTTTGCATTCTTTGTCAAGTAGAAACCTATAGTACCTCTCTAAAGTGGAAACTGAGCAAATAAAAATTGAATTATAGTGTGGAACTAAATCGACTGCTAGATACATAGATTGACAATTTATTTTTATGACTTGTTATATCTTTTGCTACCTTTTCACTTGATATGGTCATTATATTTATGTGGAGTTCCAGGACTCCCATGCTTTTCTTGAAAATGTGTGCCTTTAATTTTATGGGTTTTGTTTTGTTTTGGGATGTTTTATTTCCTGCCTGTATAGGTTTTATTTCTATTTTATGGAAATGTATGGTTGAAAACTCAGATGATACAAAGCGTGTACAATAGTTTCTTGCTGCATAGCAATACTTTTTTTTTTTATTTTTATTTATGATAGTCACACACAGAGAGAGAGAGAGAGAGAGGCAGAGACACAGGCAGAGGGAGAAGCAGGCTCCATGCTCCAGGAGCCCGACGTGGGATTCGATCCCGGGTCTCCAGGATCGCACCCTGGGCCAAAGGCAGGCGCTAAACCGCTGTGCCACCCAGGGATCCCATAGCAATACTTTTATTAAAGAGAGGTTTTTTTTTTTAAGATTTATTTATTTTAGAGGACACGTGCAAGTGGGATGAGGGGCAGAGGGAAAGCAAGAATCTCATGAAGACTCCCCACTGAGCACAGGGCTTGATCTCACAACCTTGAGATCCATGACCTGAGCCAAAACCAAGAGTTGGAATGCTCAACTGACTGAGGCACCAAGGTGCCTCTAATATGATGTAACTGGGGATCCCTGGGTGGCGCAGCGGTTTGGCGCCTGCCTTTGGCCCAGGGCGCGATCCTGGAGACCAGGGATTGAATCCCACATCGGGCTCCCGGTGCATGGGGCCTGCTTCTCCCTCTGCCAATGTCTCTGCCTCTCTCTCTCTCTCTCTCTGTGACTATCATAAATAAATAAAAATTAAAAAAATTTAAAAAAAATAATATTATGTAACTATTGCTGAATTAAGAAATCACCAGAAGCTTCTCAGTAGGAAAAGGTCTACAGTGATAGCTTAGTATTTTTGTAATTAGGCTAAAGACTTAATGCAACTGTGTACAGAGTGCTTGCTCTGTCAGTTACTTTGTTGGGAGGCTGCTTTGTGGGAGAGGAGTTTAAGAACAGAGCATCTTTGCTGTCAGGGGAATGTTGCAAAAGTCATAAATGTCATTTATGCACATTTTTTAAAAAGTTGTAGTAAAGCTAAATTAATGAAAGGAAGACTAAATTAGTTTACTGGCTTATTTTGGTTATAGTAGGATTGGGGGAGAGTGGTTGGAACAGTTTCTTAATTTTGTCAGTTCTGTAGACAATATAGAGTAAACGTGCATCATAGCTCTAAACCACTACTGAACATAACATTCCACTTAAAGTACATTGACTCCAGGATCCCTGGGTGGCGCAGCAGTTTAGCGCCTGCCTTTGGCCCAGGGCGCAATCCTGGAGACCCGGGATCGAATCCCACGTCGGGCTCCCGGTGCATGGAGCCTGCTTCTCCCTCTGCCTGTGTATCTGCCTCTCTCTCTCTCTCTCTCTCTCTCTCTCTCTCTCTCTCTCTCTGTGACTATCATTTAAAAAAAAAAAAAAGCTTGCTTAATAAACTTTAAAAAAAAAAAAAAGTACATTGACTCCTTGAACATTTATTAGTTACCTTTCCCTTACTTGTTCAGATTATTTTCCCCCATAGTTAATACTGGCAGTTTATCCCAGGAATCCAGGATTATGCCCTGAGCCGAAGGCAGATGCTCAGCCACTGAGCCACCCAGGCACCCCTAAGATTTTATATTTAAATAATCTGCACCCAACACAACCCCAAGATTAAGAGTCACATGTTCTATTGCCTGAGCCAACCAGGCACCCCATAAAGAGATGTTTAAGTCACTGAAAAGGGGATCCCTGGGTGGCGCAGCGGTTTGGCGCCTGCCTTTGGCCCAGGGCGCGATCCTGGAGACCCGGGATCGAATCCCACGTCGGGCTCCCGGGTGCATGGAGCCTGCTTCTCCCTCTGCCTGTGTCTCTGCCTCTCTCTCTCTCTGTAGCTATCATAAATAAATGAAAAAAAAAAACAATAAAATTTAAAAAAAAAAGAATAAGTCACTGAAAAGGAGACTTGATATGCAGTGCTGAACAGAACACAAAGTTATATTGTCCTGTAGGCTTGGTCATGTCACTGCTGTTTGCCTTTCAGTTTTGGAAGAGAAGTGGGCCCAGCTCATCACCATTCTCTAGCCCAGCCTCATCCCGCTCCCAGACACCAGAGAGGCCAGCAAAGAAAATCAGGTAATGAGTCCTGACTCATGCTGTAGATGAATGAGAGGGCGGGAAAGAAGAACGTATACTCGGCTCTTAGGCTTTCTGCAGCTATAATTTGGAGAGTCTGAAAAATTGCCATTGAGGACAACGAAATCCTGCCTGCACTGCTCTCCTCTCTTAATGGTCTCCTGTGCTGACCCTAGAAGCTCCCTTTCTCATCCTGCAGCTCAAGTGACCAGGGTGTGCGTGGAGGCCACGGAGGGTAGGGGGACAGAAGAAGTTACGTCAGGGGCAGAAGAGTTCACATTCTAGACTCCCAACTGACCCTCTAGGCATTGAAAGTTGACTAGAACACTGCTTTTAGGGGTCAGAAGTGTGACTGCAGCTCTCAGAGACTTGGTGGATTGTAAGTTAAGTTTTAAAGGTTATTGTTTTTGTTCCTGCTATGAGACAAAGGTTTTCCATGGCATCTGTGAACAGACTCCCTTCGTTTTGTAGGAATTTTCTTTTGATTTCTTAAATATTTTATTCTGGCATACTGTAATCTTAAATCTTGATTATTCTAGACTTTGGCCACTTGGTAGTTAGGAGGGCATAGGAAGTCACCTGTACTCTGTCAGGAGGTGTTTTTAAGCGCACTTGTGCCTCTTCTGCCTGCAGAGAAGATGAGCTTTCTCATCACTCCAGTTCTTCGACTCCATTGGCAGCAGACAAGGAGGCCCAGGGAGAAAAAGGTAGGTTGATAAGTGTGCAAGAATGTTTTGTGCTGGGAATGTTTCTGGAGGGTGTATAGACCATTGCCTCTTGGAAAACCTGCGCGGAGCATCGCTGTGTGGAGGGCCAACCAGGCCCAGAAGGAAAAGGGCTTATTAGTTCAGAGATTCGTAGTCTGGCACGGGTGGATCTACAGTGCGGCCCAACGTGCCTATGGCCTGGTGATCCGCTAAGGTAAAGGAATCTGAGCAGTCCAAGAAACAACTATCCAGTGAGCACTTAATGTCTGCATTTGGAGCAGTTACCTTTTCATACTCTCCTATCAGAAATCTTGCAAAAATTATCCAAAACCCCAGCCATGGAAGATACAACCTTTCAGAGGTACTCCGTGAAGATTCAATGTGGAAAGATCAGGTGGATAGACACACCTAGCCATTCCTGGAAGAGAAGAGGAAGTAGACAAGTCCGTCTTTTGTTTCTTTAGCTGCAGATACAACCACGTGGAAGGCACAGAACTCGTGGAGCTCCCCATCCACACCTGGCAGCTCTGGGCAGCGCAAGCGGAAGATTCAGTTGCTGCCCTCCCGGCGAGGGGCCCGGCTGACCCTGGTAGGGCTCTGTCCATCCATACCTGCCCACCCCCCCACCCCCCAGGGCAGCACTCCTAAGTTCTAGAAAAGCTAAGTATGGGTTTCTTACAGCTTCTCTGACAAGCCTCTCATCTTTCCCTCTGGCAGCCCCCACCTCCCCAGCTTGGCTATTCTATCACTGCTGAAGATCTGGATCTGGAAAAGAGAGCCTCACTGCGGTGGTTTAACAAGGCCTTGGCAGATGGGACCGGTAAGGAAGACCAGTCAGCTCCATGCTCCGGAGGGGAGTTGTTTCCTTGGGTTTTATTTGGATCCTTCTCATCTGAGAAATCCATTTGGTTCCTTGGTAGAATCAGGGGAACCGTGAGCATTGGAATTGAGGGGAGACATTTCCAGAGCTGATACTGTGTTTGGGATCCCATGGTTATGAGATCTTGTCACATGCCTTTTAGACCTGAGTGCTCTGTGATGTGTCCCCGGAGAGAACTGCCAAACACAATCTTTCTCCTTAGATACTTCCTCGAATTCTGTCACTGAGAAGCCCCCTACCACTCAGCCTTCTCTGACGTTCACCCCGCCTGCTGCTGGGACCACCACCTCCCCAGCCACCCTCCCAGCCCCAAACACCAACCCGCTGCTCGAGAGCTTGAAGAAGATGCAGAGTTCTGCTAGCCTCCCATCTTCCTCGGGTGAGTGGGAGAGCCCCCTGCAGAGTGTAGAAGGATGTGCCCCTAGGTTTCAGTCGAAGTAAAAGCAGTGTGCCTGCTGGTCTCTAGAAATCTGTGAGAGCATGATTGGCTCACCAGACGCAACCTGGTGTGCGCTCAAGAGCTTCAGAATTCTCTAATCGGGAAGCTATCAGGAAGGGGGCTGCTGTGCTTAAAGCTGGAGTCGGTAGTCTAGTTTTAGTCACATGGCTCGTGATTTGAAACGCACTTTGTGAGCTACTCTGAGCCTTGCTGTCATCCTCTGTAACATGTGAATAATGTTTAGTGAGGTGTCTCTGAAATGTAAGTGGGATCATGTGGTTACGAGGTTTTGTCTCATGCCTCTCAGATCACAGGCACAAGAGGACATTCGGTCCTTTTCTCTCTAGGGTTTCCAAGGGTCCTTGACGGCACTGCATGTGCCACACCCCTCTCTCTGCCCTTTATCACTTAGTAACTGTCAGTCATCAGACTCTCCCAGGGCCTGGGGACAGAGAGACCTCCATTTCTGGTTATATGTTTTGCACTCAACACACAGTAGGTAAATACAGTAAATCGTTCTTAGGTGAGTAAGGTACATCTCAGTGATTAACTGGACTTGAGTTTGGATGATTGGGTTTTCCTTCATCTCCACATAATTTATCCCCCAGTTTGGCCAAATCATATCCCTTTGTATCTTACGATCTTGAAGGGTAGAGCTAATGCCAGCTTGATTTTAGGGAGTAGATATGTTAAGGGTCTGTGCTATAGGTGCAGCCATGTTTGTTGACTGACACAGAAGCCCTTACACTGTGCCAGGCACATGGGGGTGCAGAATCATTGCCATCAGTACCCACTTTCTTTGTTCTTCCCAGAATCTGCTGGAGTGGCAACCACTGTGGCCCCTTCGCCTCCGAAGACACCCAGCCTGCTGCCCTCTCTCAGCTCTTCACAGTCAGGGGCCCTTCCAGGCGCCTCCTCGGACTCCAAGTCCACAGCCACTTTCTTGGGACTGACCCCTGCTGCGTCCCTGACACCAGCCACCGACACCACCAAGTCACCTCTGGCTCCTCAGGCTGAGACATCTGCCAAACCTGCAGCCCCGCCCACTCCATCCCCCTCCCCCAAGCAGAGTCTTCTGCTGGGAATGCTGAGCACCCCGCCTGCTGACCCCCCTGCGTCGACGCCCCCCACCGTGTCGTCCGCGTCCCCCATGTTCAAGCCCATCTTCATGGCCCCACCAAAAAGTGAGAATGAGGGCCCCTTGCCATCTAGCCCCTCAAAGGTCACCACCACGACCCCTTCCAGCTCTGCCCTCCTTGCACCCACCAGCAGCCCTCAGCCCTCTTTCAAGCCTATCTTCGGCAACATGGGGCCCCCGACATCCACGCCCTTGTCTCCTGCCTTCTTCAGCCAGACCGCTGCCCCAGCCACTGCTGCGAGTACCCCTCTCTTCCCCGGCCAGGCCAGTGCCACCTCAACCGTGGCTCCTGTCAGCGCAGCCAGCACTTCTATAGACTCAGCTTCAAAGCCCACGTTCAGCTTTGGCGTGAGCACTGTGACCAGCACCACCACCTCTGCTGCCCAGCCTTTCCTCTTTGGGCCCCCCCCCACCTCCGGGGCCAGCTTTAGCCCAGCCATAGGCTCCATATTCCAGTTTGGCAAGCCGCCTGTGGCACCCGTGTCGACAACAGTCACCACATTTGGCCAATCCGTCCCTGGGGCTGTGCAGACAGCCACCACCACCACTACCAGCAGCAGCAGCAGCAGCAGCACCTGCTTCAGTGGGTTCAGTGGCAGCCTCACCACCCCCGCCCCTGCCACCAGTAGCCAGCCAGCGCTGACCTTCACCACCACCACCACCCCAGCCTTCCACATTCCCTTTGGCTCAAGCACCAAGCCCACTCTCCCTTCATATCCAGGAGCCAATCCCCAGCCCACATTTGGGGCCACCGACGGGCAGCAGCAGGGTGCCACTAAGCCAGGCCTAGCCCCGAGCTTTGGCAGCTCTTTCACTTTTGGGAACACGGCAGCTGCGGCCTCAGCCGCAACCCCAGGGCCTGGCCCAGTCCAGCCCACCTTTGGCAGCCCTGCACAGGCTAGTTTTGGTGGTTTGAAGCCCACTGCCTCTGCCTTTGGCACCCCTGCTAACACCCAGCCAGCCTTTGGCAGCACCACATCTGTATTCTCCTTCGGGGCAGCCTCCACCTCTGGCTTTGGAGCGACAACCCAGACCACCAGCAGCGGGACCGGCAGCTCTATGTTTGGCAGCACAACACTGTCACCCTTCACGTTTGGGGGATCAGCTGGCCCAGCTAGCAGCGGGGGCTTTGGGATCAACGTGGCCACCCCTGGCACCTCTGGAGCCTTCAGCTTCGGCACAGGACAGAGTGGGGCTGCTGCCAGCACGACCCCTTTTGGAGGAGGCTTGAGTCAGAGCACGTTGGGCGCACCTAGTCAGAGCACACCTTTTGCCTTCAACGTGGCCAGCACACCGGAGAGCAAACCCGTGTTTGGAGGTAAGATCAGGAGTAGACCTGGTCTGCTGGACCAGATGCGGTTTTAAGTGCAGTCCCCTCTCATTCAGAGCTTCACAGTACGGCAGTGACGGGACAGATGTTTGGTAGTTAAATACACGTTCAGTTGTTAAATACAAGGTCAGGGAGGAGGAAGCGTCTGGGTAAAAAGCGGTATGTCATGAGTGGATGTGGAGGAGCTCTTCAGATAGTCAAGGAGGGCAGGCCTTTCTGAGGACATTTAAGCCAAGTCTACATCTGGGGCACAGGGGCGCTGGTGCAAAGGCCCAGGGTCAGGAGCAAACTCTAATTGACCATGAACAGAGAAAAGCGAGGTGTGGCTCAAAAGTGAAATCCACAGTGCTGTAGAGGCAGGCAGAACAGAGTTGATGGTCAGTAAAAGCGAGGATTAAATTTGGGTTTTAAATATGAAGGGAGATCCCTGTAGAATTTCAGAAGAATGAAGTGATCTTACCTGCCATGTAGAAGGTGACAAGGAGTTCTGATCCTGATAGCTTGTGTTTTAAAATCAAATGAGAGAAGATTGTGGGGAGTGGGTTGGGAAATGTGTTTACAGACAAGGGCCTCTCGAAGTAGTCATTTGGAGAATGGGAAAAAGGAACGTAAAGAACCTGGTAGTATTGCCAGAAAGTTCTCAGCACTGGAGAACTGGGGCTATGAATTTGAGATGAGGCTAGCCTGCACTGCTAGGTTTTCCTTCAGCAACATTCACACATGAGCACACGGAGGGCAGGTGTGACCCCCACTGTTGCAGCTCCAATAGGTGCTGTGGGGTCTCCCGGAGGCTAGGACAGTCCCTGGCAGTGGTGAGGGGTGACTGGGGGGGTGGGAGTGGAGGCAGACAGGAAGGCGGCAGGTCAGAGCTGGGAGCCAGGAGGCCTGAGGGCTGTTGGGAGGCAGCGGCAGGACTGGACAGTGGGGCTCTGGTGGTGAGGTCAGGGGTGTTCCCCATGTGGCCATGGGAAGGGGAGAGGACCCACAGGGGTGGGGGGATGTTTGCTGAAGGGTCAGGTTTCTGGAGGGAGGGACAGATAAACAGGGAGAGGCAGCAGAACTCAATTCATTGTCAGAGGGAAGTAACCTGGTCAAGCTGGAAAATGGTGGTCTGAGTGTCCCCCTATCCTGTGCTTTGGTGGCCTTGGGAATCCAGCGACTCTGCTCCCTAGGTGGCCAGAAGACCCCAGTGTGGGGTTTTGGCTCAGCTGTGGAAGGAAGGAAGCCAGCACAGCGGTCCAGGGCCGAGGTGCACTGTGGAGATGCCCCTCCCCCCCCAGCTTCAGTCCCTCGGCTTGGACACCCTGGGGCCTAGTCACTAGCTTTCTGTGGTCTCTTCGTTCTAGGTACCTCCACACCCACCTTTGGTCAGAACACCCCTGCCCCTGGGGTGGGCGTGTCAGGCAGTGGTCTCTCCTTTGGGGCATCCTCAACACCCACCCAAGGCTTTATTGGAGTTGGACCTTTCGGTAAGCAACAAGTCATGTCACCAGCATGCCCTGCCTCTTTCTCCAGAGAGGGAGGGGGGCTTGTAGGCTCCTGGCTCTGGGGCCTCCTGGGAAGGATCAGGCTCATAAGCACAAGAAAGATGTGGCCTGGCTGGGAGGCTACCACAGATCAGGTACGCAGTTGAGGAGGAATGTTCCCGAGCTCTGAAGAGCCAGTTAAAAATGCCTTCCTCCTCACTCATGGTCTGGGATTCTGAGTTTTTACTAGTCTCCCCCCGCCCCCCTCCTCCAAAGCAAGGGCTGCTTTTCAGTAAGCCCAGTTTAAGTACCCAGGGTTTTGCTGGCCTAACCTTGCAGAGATTGGGGTTCCTGGGGAAGAGCCCCAGGCAGCCACTTCCCTGATGAGGCCTTGTTGAATCTTTCCAGGATCGGCGGCCCCTTCCTTTTCCATTGGTGCAGGATCCAAGACCCCAGGGGCTCGGCAGCGACTGCAGGCCCGCCGGCAGCATACCCGCAAGAAATAGCCCTTGCCTTTGTCCCTGTTCCATCCCCCCGATTCCCTGCCCAACTCTGGACCTCAGCACCTGCTAGGAAGAGCCTCTGGAGCTTCTAGTTCCATAAAGCAACCTCCCCCAGATCTCTGGCTTCTGCCAGTGGGAGGCAGCGGCAGCCCTGGCAGCCATCTGGCTCCTGGAGGAAGAAGCCTCAGGCCCTGGGGGTGGCAGTGGGGGTGGGGGGCGGTGGCCTGCTACCTGTACTTGAACAGCTCCGGTGAAGCTGGAGAGAACTAAAGAACATCTGTACATATCGTCCACCTCCTTCCCTGACTCTTGTCTGGCGTTATGAGCGTAGTCAGGCAGTCTCCCCTCCCGCCTACGCCCCTCCTGAAGCCAGCTTGGCAGGGGCCAGGGGGTGGGAGGCGTCTCTGGCACAGCCCAGGCCCTGGCTGCCAGAAGTTGGGGAGCTGGGTTGGCCCTGCATCTTTACCTTGCTTGGCTTGCCTATAAAAGTGTTTCTCCTTGGGTCCCATTAGGGGACCGGCTTCCCCGTTTCTTGCTGCTTTGTCCCTCACTGGTTCCTTGCAGGATCTACCCCTTTTTAAATGACCTTGAATCTAGCTTTGCCTTGGAGACCCCAGTGGGTGCTGCTCCTGCCGTTCCACTTCCTCCTGCCAAGTCCAAGTCAATGTTTTTTCCCCAACCCTCTGCCAGTTTGGCCCCTAAAAGCTTGGTGGCGCAAGACTGTTAGCCTGGCAGCTGCAGGGGAGATACCTCGCTCGGGCGTGGGGGGGGGGGCTCTAGGAGCAGACAGGACACCCCCTACCCCCCTGCTGTTGAGCTGCCTCCTCGCCCACCTTCCCCGCTGGCCTCCGCGGGACGCATCCGCCTCTCCTCCCCAGGGTTGTATGTTTAAAGCCTTGTCCTGTGTTCCTGTCTGATGCTCATGTCTATTGCTCTTTGAATCGAGTTTGGAGGAAGAATTGAATTGTATGAGTGGCGGCATGTTGGTAGTGCCGGACTTAACTGTTTCAAGTTTCTGGGGCCTCGCTAATTGAATGTGGAAAGTAGCACCACTTTATGGCTACACGTGCTGACTCCTGGATTTTCAAATGGTGTTTTGACTTTAAGGGCTGGCAGCCCAAGAGGATGGGGCCAAGGGGAAGCAAAGATCTCTTCCCTCCACTGTTTCCCTCCCACTCACCTGACCCGACCCCAGCACCTGTTAGAAAACCAAAATTAAGGAACCACACTTCAGAATTCTTCAGGTTCCCCCAACCCCCAACAGAGTCTCCCCTCTTCTCCTTTGTTCCCTGATCACAAACCCTGGGCCCAAGAGCCTTGCTGCCATGCCCATCCTCTTTGGGAGAAGTATGAATGCGTGTGTCTAAATTAAAAGAAAAAAATATTTAAACATTTTTTAACAAAATAAAAATTTATTTTTGTATTTAAGCTAAATTGCCTTTTAAATTCCTTCAAGCTTGGTTCACTGAGGTGGTTAAGTATAAATGCTATTGACTAGGAATTAGCTGTATAGTTAAGTTATGCCTGTGTGAAGAGGAGGCTCAGATGCTGTCCTAGGCAGCTTTCCTGAGGGGCCAGAGCTCCCTCGGGACACACAATAGAAAATGTAATTCTTATTTTATAAATAATGTGATGTAGATGTAACTAGTTCCCCCTCACCCCCATGACTGAGGTTGAGTGCTGTGGCAGGGGACTGTCCCTCCTCACCCCTGGGGAAGAGGGGGTGGCCTGAACCTCCAGTCCTGTGTACCTGTTGGGGGTGGGGGCAGCAGGCCCCGGGCCTAGAAACCAAGTTTCCACAGATACCTGACAGAAGGTAGGTCCTCTTGGTTTGAGTGCTTAGAGCTAGTTTACCTCAGTTCCGCAGGCAGGACCGCGGGTCCGGGAGCCCCAGGGAGAGGGTGTCCCTGCGCAGCCTGAGTGAGGGTGTGGGTGGGTGTGTGGGTGTGTACGCGTACGTGCACTGGACGGGAACAGGAGACTGGGACTTTCCATGACAAAGACTTAATTCCTGTGAGTCTAGTTGGAATTTTTAGTATGAATGTGAGATTTTTCTCCTTGCTTATGTCATTAAGAATAAAAAAAAAAAAAACTGTGATCTACCATAGACCATGTCCTGCCTTTTATTTTTGTGGGCAGAATTCTCTCACCAGCAAGAACAGGGGCCCAGAGGACAAGGAAATCCACACTCTCCGGCTGGAGAACTAGGGTTACCACTTTCCTTCCTAAGGCAATAAAAACAATAGAACCTTTCAAAAAACTGCTGGCTGAGCTGTGGGGAGGACCAGGGTCTTCCTTCCTTCCCACCCAAGGCAGCAGAGCTCAGGAGACCTGCTCTGTGGGGGGCAGTGTGCGAGGGGCCACAGTCCGGCGTGGTCTCCTTTTGTTCCGTGGGGCTGCGCTGAGAGTGAGTTCTGGTGCCGATGCTTCAGCCTGGAGGACTGAGCTAAGAAGGAAAGTACCTAAGTCAGATGCATCCTGGTCCTCTGGCACCTTCCATGCAGCCCACCCCCCACCCCCCCCACTCCCCCACTCACCTTGGAACCTCTACCCGTTCCAGTACCGCAACAAAGAAGCCACCAGTGAGCGTGGTCTCGGGGGAGGCCCGGAGGCAGTGTTCAGCCCCTGGGAAACTGCTGAGGCCTCGGTGGGGCCAGGAGGGTAGGACGGGAGCCAGCCTATGGAGAACAGAGGAACTCTGGGTAAAAGCCAGCAGGCCCCTTCCCCAGGACCCGGTGGATCCCTGCTACCTGAAGGTCCCTGGGTTCTGCTGCAGGGCATCCTGCACCACATCTTCATTCTCCTCTTGGCAGAGGGAACATGTGGAGTACACCAGACGCTGCAGGGAGGGGAAGGTGAGCGCGTGGCGCAGTGCTCGCTGCTGGAACCCGGCTAGGGCCTGCAGGCGTGCTTTGCTAGGAGTGCCTGCCCCGGGCTCCTCCAGCTGTCTGGTTGGCATTCCTAAGGACAAAGTGTGTCACCTGTAGACTGCCTCGTTCTGCATCGAGATCCCTGCTTCGCAGGTGAGAACATCTGCTTGGGGTCACCAGGTGAGGAGTCAGAACTAATGCCAACCCCAGAGCTGCAGGTCCTTCAACTATACTTTGTCCCCATCTCACCTGAGCCACTACAAGAAGGATCCAGTAAGATATACTGGACTTGACGGTAGCGCTGGTCAGAGGGTGAGACTGCCAGGAAGTCTTCCTGAGCCAGCTCACAGCATGAGACTCCAGCCCGGGCCAGCAGGGTAGCCATGGACGCCAGTCGCCCAGCATCCAGGTCAAAGGCAAAGATCCTCCTGAGGAAGAGGGGAAAGCCGGAACAAATCCTGGGGCACCTAAGGGCCGAAAGATCTGACCGAGAATACGTCCACTCGGGACCCAGAAAAGAAGGGACAATGTCTAGAGACCTGACCTGGGGATTCTGCGCCCAGGGCCGATGGATTCCTATCTCCCACCTGCTACCCACTGGGAAGCTGAGCTGAGGGCACCACCACCAACTGCTCTAGGTCCAGATGGAATTCCTTAAAGGAACATCCTTTTCAGCCTCATGACCCACTGGAACAGAGTTCCTGATTTCCAAGTATAGGATCCCCCACCCCCTCCTGGGTGACCATGGCACTCACCCTTGGTTCTTGAGAAAAGCGGCCAAGTGACTGGTCTTGTTGCCAGGGGCAGCACAGGCATCGATGACGTGGGAGCCTGGGGGTGGGGCCAGCAGCATGGCTGGGAGACAGCTGGCCTGGTGGCAGAGCACAGGGCTGGGGCAGTGACTGGGGTGGGGCGGTGGGCGCCAACTCCCACTCTCTCCCCTTCCCGTCCACCTGCCCTACCTTGTCTTGTAGAATGAGGTGACCGGCCTGGTACAGTGGGTGGTCATGAAGATCTGTCTGGGTCGGAAACACCAGCAATTCTGGCAATAAGGGGTCCAGAAGAAAGCACTTCCCTTTGAGGGCCCGTAGGTCCTCGAGGCTGCCAGAGAAGGAGAAGCACTGAACACTGAGTTCCTCCTGCTGAGCACCAGGCTGGACCTTTTACAGGGGCTCCTCCCCTGACAGGCTAGGGTACAAGCCACACTCCTGAACTCGGGGAAGGAGCATGGGGCACTGCGCCTGGCCCATGGCGAACGGGTCCCCAAGCCAGCCAGGGGCAGAGCAGAAGCCACAGCCACTCCCGTATCACTCTGGCCTCCAGGCAACACGCCACAAGAGATGGGGAGTGGGAGGGGGCAGAGGGGACTCCCTAGAGCTGTCAGAGACCAAGGAGGTGGTGGAGCCAGGGAAACACTGGCAGTGGGCCTGGGACGGAAGCGGGGGCCAGGACACAAGGACCAGCCAAGGAATGGTTTGCAAGATTTTCGGCATGGGGGATCACTCTACAGCCAACTGTGGTTGAAGTCTGGAAATGGGGAGACCGGCTCAGAAGTTTCATCTGCCAACAATGACAGAGAATAGCAGGCAGGGTCCGGGAGGACAGAAAGATAGTGGACATGCTTGAGAAGGCACTATGGGCAGGGTGGACATGCCGCAAAGGACTCAGCTGCTGGCCTGGCCACACGGCTGCGGGATGGCAGTGCCATCCCTTAGCTGAAGATGGGGGATGCTGGAGGTGCAAAGTGCAGGGATGCCACCGCTTCCGCCAACCAATCCATACGTGGCGCCACATTGACAAAATCAAAGATCCTGATCGTCCCATCTGACGAGATTCAACCCCCATCCGTGATAAAAACTCAACAAAGCAGGTGTGGAGGGTATACACCCCAACATAATGCAGGCCATATGCGAAAAGCCCACAGCTAACATCCTCAGGGCTGAAAGCTAGAAGCTCTTCCTCTAGGGTCAAGAACAAGACAAGGACACCCCTCTTGTCCCTTTTACTCAACATCAACAGAGCCTAATCAGCAAATCACACAAGAAAAAGAAACGAGGCATCCAAACCGGAAAGAAGTGAAACCATCTGCAGATGACATATGTAAAAAACCCTAAAAATTCCAACCAGAAAACCATTAGAACTTTTAAACAGATTTAGTAAAGTGGCAGCATACAAAATCCATATATGAGCATCTGTTGTTTCCATACACTGATGAACTGTGTACTGGGGGAGGTCACAGAGAAGATGCAGCCACTGCTGGGAGCAGAACCTGGGCGATCAGGCCCCGCACCCGTTTGGCAGGGGCATCCTGCTTGGCTCCCCGCTCCCAGAGGCTGCCCAAGGAGGCTGCCCCAGGACATAGCCTCAGCAAAGTGATACAGTGTAGAGACCAGCTGGAGCACATGACCCTGAATCCATGAAGGCCTCTCCAGAAACTCCCAAGATTCTGACAGGTGGACGTGGAGACGTCTCGCTGCACCCAAGATAAGCCTCACAGGTAAGTCCCATTGCTTAGGAAACCTGCTGCCTACCCATGTGGGGTGGCCTGCCTTTCTTGGTTGCTCCCTTCACTCCACGTACGGGGACCAATTTCAGATCACACCCAGGAAGCTCCTGAGTTTGCAAACCAACGGGTGACCAGCCTGGAGACCCAGGAAAGGGCTTAGGAAAGAGGCATCTACCGGGATGGTCTCCAGTTGGCCAGCAACAGTGACCTCTCTATGTGGGGAGGGGTGGCCCATATGTCAGATGCTCATCGACTGCTGTGTGGGTATGGGGACACCCCAAAAGCATGGGCTGCTTTAATGCACTTGTTTGAGAAACTGCACAGATCACACGGTGGCAAAGCGAACTGCTGGAGAAGTAAGGAGGGAGAAAGAGATGGGCTTGGGCTGCCTTTGTGACAGGCAGCCACGCGGATGCACCCCAGGGCAGTGGACCCCAATACAAGGAGAAGCAAAAGCAGCAAGAACAACCCTGGCCAGTAGGGTGGCCCCTAGTGAGGGAGTCCCCTCCCTCTGGGCTTACTGGCAGAGCTGCTGAGTTCCAGCAGGCCAGGGAACACACTGGGGTGCAGCTGCAGCAGCAGTGGGCCACAGGGCAATGGCTTCTCCCTGACTGCACAGGAGGCAGAGAAAATGAGCCACCTGGCCACACAGCCTGCCCTCCGGCTGGGGCTGCATGGCACTTACATGGAGTTCAAGATACTTGTGTCCTTAGATACTGGATTATTCTAGCCCACAGGGAGACTTGGCCCAATAAGGGGGACCTTCCTAGTCATGTGGGACCCTGGGAATCTAGAGGAGAACAATGGATTCTTAGGGAGTTGGGAATGAGAAGAGCCCTCTGCACTTCAGTCTCTGAAGACCATGACAGGGCCACATCAGGGCAGGAAGGAAAGCCAGCATTCTCCATCCTGCCCCCAACTCCAGGTACAGGGTGCTCACATCAACGCTGAGTCTGCTCGTACAAGATATTTAGGGTGCTAAGGGAAAGACCCGGGACCAAGAGGAGAAATCAAAAAGCCAAAACGCTATCCCAATAGACTGTAGAGGGTCTAGAGAAAGTAACCTGGAAGCACACAGGATTTGACCTCATTGCTATAAGACCCCCACCAGAACAGAGGTCAACTTGCGGAAAACCTTAAGACTCAATGATTCCAGTCAAGGATGTCCCTTGACTCTCCCCTGCCTGAGAGTGTGGGGGTCTCTATCCACTTCCAGGGAACACACTGGGCCCTGGTATCCCACCAGGTCAAACAGCTGGGTGAATTCTAGCCAGAGTTAAACCAGTGCAGAGGGGAAGGCCAACTGGGAACCTGGGAGCCTGCCACCCCCTCCCAGACGGAGTGTCAAATGATACAAACCACACAGGGTCGGAGGAGAAACCATCTAAGAGCAGCTTGGAGTGCCCTGCCCCCAGCCCTTCCAACACCCAATACAGCTGACAGAAGAGCCAGCAGGCTCCCGGCAGGTGACAGCAGGACACCCTAAATTAATCCAGGTAGCCCCCACCCTTGTGCATGTGGCTGTGCCCAACACTGCCACCATCCGAGACACTTTAGACATGGTACTAGGAGGGAACCATGCTGTGCTAGTCTCAGCGAATGTCTTTTTCAGTAGAGAGACAAGCTCAATCTGCCTTCACATGAGAGGAGCAACGATGGACCTTTCAAGTGTTCCTCTGAGGTTCCCTGCACAACCCCACTGTGTGTCACAGAATGGCGGCCGGAGGCCTGCCCCTGTGTCCTTCTCACACAGGAGAATGGGCCCATTGCATTCACACTATAACGTAGATGTGTGAAGATGTGTCTCTGTGGCAGGCCATCCTGCAGGCCCTGCTGAAGCATCTGTGGAAGGCTGGGTGGTGAACCCACAGAACTCAAGGCCCAGGCACTGCCATAATGTTTGGGAAGTCAATTCATCGGCTAAGATACACCTCATCCCAGACGCTGGGATGGATAAGCTGCACGTGTGTCCAGCTCCTGAGAATGTGAAAGAAGTGTTCAAGCCTTGGTAGGAGTTTTGGGGTCTGGAGGACTCATACTCCCCACCTGGCACACAGCGCCTCTGCCTCTTAAACCAGTTGATAAAGAAAGGGCACGTGCTGGAGTGGGGACCAGGGAGCAAAACACCTTTGAGAAGGCAAAATGCTAGGGAACAGATGAAAGCTCTGGCCGTCTCCTAGGTTGGGCAGCAACTGGAATTCAAGGTCTCTGTGACTCTGGAAGGTGTGGGTTGCACATTGTGGCAGAGATGACAGAAGGGGAGAGTGCCCCCAAGACACTGTCCCAGGTCCAGGAAACAGAAACCAGATACCCCACCCCCACTACACCCCCCACTAAGGGGCAAAAGTTTCTAGTCGTATGCACCACACTCCTCCAGGCAAAGCCTCTCAGGGAGAAACATGGTGCGGCAGCCATGGCTGAACTGAGAGCATTCTGGCCAGTGATGGCTCATGAGCCCTGGCCCTTAACCCTCCTCTACACTGTGGGCTGCTGTGAGGGGATCAACCCTGCAGCTTGGACAGTGGGAAGCTGAAGGGTGGGCCACAAATAAGCCCCTGTGGGGTCAGGATACATGAAAAGAGTGCAGGTTCACCTGCAAGAGGCCAAGGCAGTCCTCACTGTGTTCCACATCCTGGCTCCTAAGCCACTGATTCCTCCTGGCTGCCGAGAAGCTGATGCCCTGGCTCAGGTACGAGCCCCAGCACCTCACCTTTAGGCAGACAGCTAACTGGGTGTATAGGAAGCATGCCCACCGTGGCACCCGGGTGGGAGAGCACACTGCCAAGGAAGCCAGACCGCCCTTGAAATACAGCGATTTGGTGAATTCTGTAACATGCCTTGTGTGTTCTAAATCACGCCCAAGGCAACTACCAAAGGTGTCTGGGGCTGTCCTCCTGAGTTCCCAACCAGTAAGAAATGGGCAAAGTGACTAGACTGACCCCTCCCTGCAAGTAAGGGTTGTGAGCATGCCCTGGTGTGTGTGGTCATGGCACTGGGCGCAACCTGAGCTCTGCCCTGCTGCCATCAGGAGACTAAAAAAAGCCCAAGTACTGTGTGCAGGTACTCTCCTCAACCAGACAGAATTTGGGGGTCACATTTCATAGGTCCTGATGTGCAGTGGGGCAGAAGAACACAATATGGAGGATCCATCACCACTAAAACCTGTAAGCAGCAGGGCTGGAAGACAGGAAAGGATGTGAGAGCACACTGTGGTACTGCCAGGTGAAAAGCACCGTAGCCGTAGCCGTAGCCGGGTGGACCAAGAACTGTCCCTGGCTTTCATCCATCTGAATGACCCACCAGCGGGGCCTGCTGCTCCCACACAGACCCGCCTGGGAATCCCTGCTGAGACGCCTCCCCGCACCAGGAAGGGAAGAGCCACTGCCCTCTTCCTGTAGGCCTACATGCTGCTGAGAACACCAGGGGCTCCACCACACCTGCAAAAGGAGTCATCTACTGAAACGCGTGCTCGGAAGGCCCCACACTGGGGGGAAGCTACTGCAGCTCCTCTGGGATCCTGCTGTCCTGCCGCAGGCAGCACCTGTGGAACTGCACTACCCCTGGATGGGCACACACCACTGGGGGAGGAGGGGAGCAGTCTGGCATATTTCGCCCCCATCTCCTCATGCCTGACCCAGATGCCTCCCCGGCCAGTACATGTAGCCTGCACAACCTGGTCCAGAAACTGAAGCTGCCAGCCTCCCTCCCTGAGGCCAAATGGGCACACTATCTTCTGCTGATCCCATCACCTGGTGCTTCTGTTCCTGCCCCGGGACTGGAGAACATTAAAGCACATCAGAAGCCCTTACTAAACTCATTTGGCACAGTGTGAGTGGCAGTTGACAAAGCCTGCCTTACCAACCACTGAAATGTCTCTAATGACAAAAGTTGTCCTCAGAAACAGGATGGCCTTGGACATGATTACTGCCTCACAAGGAAGCCCTGGTGCCTTTGTCCAAACACAGTGTTGTCTGTTTGTACCTCATGAGTCTGCTCACGTACATCTTTATTAAATCACATAAGGACACAAGTGAATGCCCTGAGTGATCTCACCTCCAGGCTAGGTGATATTAATGCAATGGTTTGGATCCTGGGGTTCTTAGAGAAAGAAGTTACCACTGGTTTAAGGAATTATGGTCTTTTTTTTTTTTTTTAAGATTTTATTTGAGAGAGGGAGGGAGAGAACACAAGCAGCAGAGGGGGAGGGGCAGAGGAAGACCGCTGAGCAGGGAGATGGACTTGGCGTTTGTTTTGTTTTTTTTTTTTTTTTTATAATTTTTATTTATTTATGATAGGCACACAGTGAGAGAGAGAGAGAGGCAGAGACACAGGCAGAGGGAGAAGCAGGCTCCATGCACCAGGAGCCTGATGTGGGATTCGATCCCGGGTCTCCAGGATCATGCCCTGGGCCAAAGGCAGACGCCAAACCGCTGCGCCACCCAGGATCCCTGGACTTGGCGTTTGATCCCAGGATCCTGGGACCATGACCTGAACCAAAGGGAGGTGCTCAGCTGACTGAGTCACCCAGGCACCCCAGAGAATTAGTGTCTTAATCTGTTTTCTCTTGCATGTGTCTCAACTGCTACTGTGGCATCTGCCTCCAGTGCCACCAGACAACTCCCAAAGGAGCCACCTCCAAGCTAGTGAAACCCCTGCTGACCGCTTGAGACACAAGCAGAAAACAGGGTCATGTGGAATTTAAAGAGCAGGGTTAGAGTGCTGGGGGACGTCATTGGGAGGATGGACCAGCTGTTGATGCAGGAGCTGCACCCTGGCACATAAAGGTTCTGAATAGCCAGAGCAATCTTGAGAAAGAACAAAGCTAGAGGTCTCACAATTGCTAATTTCAAGCAAGATTACAAAGCTACAGAAATCAAAACAGTATTGGTACTGGCATAAAAACAGACACACAGATCAATGAAACAGAACAGAGCGCCCAGAAATAAACCCACACTTATATCATCAATTAATTTATGACAAAGGAGCCAACGGAAAAAACAGCCTCTTCGATAATGGCGTTGGGAAGATTGAAGACACGCACAGAAGAATGAAAATGGGGCCCCCTCTCACATCACACACAAAAATTAACTCCAAATGGATTAAAGACCTAAATATGACCTCTGAAATCAGAAACCTCCTGGAAGAAAACATGGGCAGTGAGCTCCCTGACATCAGTCTTAGCAATGATTTTTTGGATCCAACTCCAAACAAAAAGCAAAAGCGAAAGTAAACAGGAGAATGTATCAAACTAAAAAGCTTCTGAACACAAGAGACCATCAACAAAATGAAAAGGCAACCTACAGAATAGATGCAAATATTTACATATCACGTATCTGGATTAGGAGTTAACATTTAAAATATATAATGACTCCTATAACTCAATGGCCAAAAAAAAAGTGATTGAAAACACTTGCAAAGGGTCTAAACAGACAGTTTTCCAAAGACAGAGAGATGACCAACAGCACAAAAAGGTGCTAAACACCATTAGTCATCAGAGAAATGCAAATCAAAACCTCAATGAGATCTCACCGCACATCTGTTTGAATGGCTATTACCAAAAAGACAAGAAATAACAAGTGTTGTCGAGGATGTGGGAAAAAGGGAACCCTCTTACACTGCTGGTGGGAACATAAATTGGCGCAGCCACTGTAGAAAATAGTATAGAGGTTCATCAAAAATTAAAAACAGAACTACCATATGATCCAGCAATTCCATTTCTAGGTATTTATGCAAGGAAGAGGAAAACACTAATTCAAAAAGATATCTGCACTCTGTTTACTGCAGATTTATAATCGCCAAGACATTAAACAACCTAAATGTCAACCGTTAGATGGAGAATACGTAACTATATATACACGTATGTGTGTATGTACATGCATCTATACACCCACAAGAATTTTATTCAGCCAAAAGAAGAAAATACTGCCATTTGCGATCACATGGATGGACCCTGAGAGTAGTATGCTAAGTGAAATAAATCAGGGAAAGAAAATACTGTATGTTCTCATTTATATGTGGAAACTCTTTTTTTTTTAATATTTTAAGAAATTTATTTATTTATTTATGATAGTCACACAGAGAGAGAGAGAGAGGCAGAGACATAGGCAGAGGGAGAAGCAGGCTCCATACACTGGGAGCCTGACGTGGGATTCGATCCCGGGTCTCCAGGATCGCGCCCTGGGCCAAAGGCAGGCGCTAAACCGCTGCGCCACCCAGGGATCCCCATATGTGGAAACTCTTTAAAAACAAAAAACAATTCATAAATACAGAGAACAGATCTGTGATTACGGGGGGGAGGGGGTTGCAAAAAGGCATAAAGGTGGTCAAAAGGTATAAATTTCCAGTTATAAAATACATTAAGTCCCAGGAATCTAATGTACTGCATGGTAAGTATAATAAATACTGTACTACATATTTGAAAGACACTAAGGAATCTTAAAAGTTCTCATCACAAGGAAAGGCACCTGGGTGGCTCAGTCAGTTAGGCATCCAACTCTTGACAGAGGCTCAGATCTTGATCTCAGTGAGATAGAGCCCTGAGCAAGGCTCCGAGCTGGGTATGAAGCCTGCACGAGGTATTCTCTCTCTCCTTCTCCCTCTGGCCCTCCCACCCCTAAAAAAAAAAAAGTTTTCATCATAAGAAAAAAAAACTTTCTGTAACTATAAGTGGTGACAAATATTAACTAGACTTATTGTGGCTATTATTTTGGAATATACACACATATCATTACACTGTCTACCTGAAACTAACACTACATGTCAATTTTACCTCAAGGATACAAAAAAATGCTGCAAAGTAATCCAGTAATGCATGTTTAAGCACACTGTTTTGGAAGGATTTCTCTTAAATCTTGAATTTTGGGTAAACATGGTTTAACAATTAAAAAAGAAGGTGGTGCAGAAATCAGATTAATTTAGTCTGACACACACTGTAGCTTTGGTGTCTGTGGAACACTGAGATGAACCTGAGGGTGGGAAGAAATCTAAACTGGGAGACACCAATCAGACGAGAAACAGGAGTCAGAGCAAGAGAAACGGAGGGATACATTAGAAGAACATAGGATGGAACTCCCAGGAGAATCAGTGCTAAGGGATGGAGGAAGCCAGGCTTTGGAGGAGGGAGAAACTGCTGGAAAAATCTGAGAAAACCAGAGTGCAGTCACAACCACTCCTCTTTCTTCCCCCATCCCTGTTCCCCAGTGCGCCCAGGCAGCCCAAAGCCCACGCCCCACCGCCCCCCCCCACCCCCCAGAGAAGGGCAGCCAGGCAGGGTTCTCAGCTCACCTAGAAGCCTGACCCTGGTAAGAGAAACCTTGCCTCTTGAAATAATCAATTGCATCGTCGGAGCTGGTCTTGAGAGTGTTCACACGCACAAAGCGAGGCACCTGGGAGGCTAGGAAGCAATCAGCAGTGAGTGGACAGGAGCAAGGCCCTCTCCTCTGAGGGCCTGAGAGCCGGCGCCCTCAACACAACTCCTTACAGCTCACCTGCGCCAGGCCTGGATCCCACCTGCAACAGGTCCTCGTTGCGGCTCACACGTCGCTGAACCTTGAGCCGGGCCAACTCCGCCTTCAGCCTTGCCTGGTGCCGGTCCAGCAAAGGTTTCCATCGGCCCCCGCCCCCTCTAAAGCCTCTTCCCAGCAACAACTCATACACTAGGACCTGGAGACGGGGAAAGAAAGAGAAAACGCGAAGCATTAATGTTCTGGAATTCCACAGTGTTGGATGAAACTGGAAGCGCCATCCAGGCAGTGACACGTAAAAGTGAGGTGTTCTGCCCAAGACCACACAAGCGATTAAAGACACAGCGGGGACCTGACCCCTGTGCCCTACTTTCCTGTCCCGCTCCGGCTGCGGCTGCGGCTCCGGCTCCCGCTCCCGCTCCCGCTCCCCAGGGCTGCTCACCAGCGGAGCGCCGGGTCCCAACCCTCCTCCTTGCCCACATCACCCTTCGGCTCGAGCCAGAGTCCCCGCCGTGGCTACTTAGCACTTTTTTTTTTTTTAAGATTTTATTTATTTATTCATGAGAGACAGAGACAGAGAGAGGCAGAGACACAGGCAGGGGGAGAAGCAGGCTCCACGCAGGGAGCCCCACGTGGGTCTCAATCCCGGGTCTCCAGGATCACACCCCGGCCTGAAGGCGCGCTAAGCTGCTGGGCACCCAGGCTGCCCTACTTAGCACTTCTGTTCTTCACCTTCCACACTTAGGCTCAAAGTTACAGCATTTCCACCCCCCCCTCAAACAACGACCCGGCTACAGCCCGCTCATCCTCCTTTCACGCGGGCGACGTGCTGACGTCAGGCGCCGAGACCAGGTCCGGAGGGACTCGCAGCCCGGCCTCGCCCCCCGCCGCCCCCCCCCCACGCCCAGCCCCGCTACCTTGGCCAGGTGCGGCCGCAGCTTCTTCTCGGCGCGGAGGAGGCCGGCGCTGGCGATCACGGCGTCCAGCACCGCGGAGTAGCGCTGCGTCTCGCACACCAGCGCGTACAGCTGCTTCACGTTCTGCGCGCGGCGGAGAGAACTTCGGCTGAGGCGGGGGCCCGACCCGGCTGGCCCCCCGCCCGGCTCGAACCCCGAACCCCGCTACCTGGAAGCTGCTGGCGTACACCAGCCCCTTGATGGAGCCCCGTCGGCTCTCCACGTTTGCCAGCACAGACGCCGCCGTCGCGTACAGCGCCATGCTTCGATCCCACGCGCCTTTACGGCTCTGTCGCGAAGCACGCCTGCCTCGGCATCGCCCCGCGCGCCGCACTTCCGGGGTCAAAGGGCACAGGGCGCGCGGGCCCTTCCTCCCGGGGCTCCCGGGGTCCGTGTGAGGTGGAGGGATGGGAGCCTGGGAGCGCGTTAACCTCGCTTTTCGTGCCTCTTCTCCTTTCTCCCCGTCTTTGCCAGTCTGATAGGCAATGGAATTTTACTGCTGTTTTAAATTCTGTTATCGAGGTTAACTATTTTCCTGTTTATTGATCTTTTGTATTGTTCGTGGGTTTTGGTCACTCTTCTACCATCTCGTGGTGCCCTTTGTATATTGATGTATATACTCGTCCTGGGTCTATTTTTTTCTAGTTTACTATTGCTTTTTAATGTGGTTTATAGTTTGGGACACTTTTTCATTTTTAGTTTCTGCCTTTGGTGTCACGCCTGGAAACCCCTTCTTTACACCTTTACAAGGTAGCAATCACCGTGGCTTCGTTTTTTTCACACTTAAATCTTTAACCCATTTAGAAATCAGCTGGGCACATGAGTGACGCAGAGCTCGGTTTCCAAATGGCTGGCTTTTCATGCATTGCAGTCATTCATTTATAGCAAAGTTTCCCCAGCCTGGCCTCTGGGAGAACAGGGATTTTGTGGGATTTGCCTTTGTCCCCAGCTCCCGTGTGGTTACTGGTACACATTAAGTTGATTAAATAAATCCAGTTAATGTGTATCCCAAGCGCTCAAGTAGACAGGCCTCCATGGACCAGTTCTCTGTATTGCCAACAGCACGTCAGCAAGTTATTTTGCAGGATAGTCTAGCAAAATTGCTGAGTTGTTTAAAGGTTTAACCCGGTCCTGTGGGCCTAGGTTGGTTAATTGTGATCTGTGAGTGGAAACCCCCCACCTGCAGCTGAATATCCTCTATTTCATTTACTTCATAGCACCCATTCCATATGTAGTTAGGATTTATTCTCTAGCTGAATCCAGGAGGGCAAATCCTGTTTGGCACCCATCTATCCCTACCTCCTAAACCAGTGTTCTTCTCACAGTGAGGGACCTTGTATCTGTTGCATGAGTGAAGGAGTGAATGGAGCATAAACTGATGTGGACAGCTGGACAGCCAGCTGTGCCAGTTAACCCATCCTAAAACAATCTTAATGCCCACTCCTTCAGGTGAGTGGTTAAGAAGTGCACCAATATTAATAAGGTCCATAATTGATTCACATTTCCTTGGCTTTTACCTTTTTTTCTGTCCTTCAGTCTCATCTAGGACACATTAAACTCCGTCATGTCTCCTTGGCAACTCTTGGCTGTGACAATTTCTCAGGCTTTCCTGATTTTTTATGACCTTGATAGTTTTGAGGACTATCCTGGTAAGCATTTTGTAGAATGTCTCTCAAATTGGGATTTGGCGGATTTTGTTTTCCTCATGATCAGACTGGAGTTACAGGTTTTGCAAGACTACAAGTAAAGTACCATCCTCATCGGATCACATCAAGGGCATATTGTATCAACATGACCTTCGCCATTGATGTTACCCTTGATCACCTGGCTAAGGTAGAGTTCTTCATACTTCACTGTAAACTAGTCTTTATCCCTCTGTTCCCTCTGGAAAGACGTCACTATGCACACCCCACCCTTTAAGGAGTAAGGTGTAGCAAAGTAGCTACATAAATTATTTGGAATTCTTCTGCAGAATTGTCTCTTCTCCTGGATTTAATTAGCCAATCATCTATCAGTATAGACTCATGGATATTTACTTTATACCTTGAGTTATAATCCAGTACAGGTATCCCCCCCCCTGCCTTTTTTTTAAGTATGCTCCACACCCAGCACGGAGCCTAGTGTGGAGTGTGATCTCACAACCCTGAGATCAAGACCTGAGCTGAGATCAAGAGCTGGACACTCAACTGACTGAGCTACTCAGGTACCCCTAGTCCCCACTTTCTGAAAGTTTAGTTTGCATTATACCACTTCACTTTTACAAAAGACCTACATTAGTATCTATTTTCGTTAACTGAAAGAAATCCTAAGAGGATTTTCACTTTTATGAAAAAAGAGGAAAAATAAATAGTATTGCCTTGCACTGAGCTCCAGGAGGCAGCACACAACCCCAAGCAGTGAGAGTGGTGCTGCCAAGCTCCTTCCCCAAAATCTCCACATGCAGCATCTCAGCATCAAGCCTCATAGCTCTGAACTGTGTGAGCAGCTGTGCTTTTTCTTGATTGACCACATGCATTCATTCGCAAGATATATCCTAAGGTAAGAAAAGCTTAAAAGCAGTTAATTTGGGGAGTCTGGGAACACTAAAAGATGTTTCCATATTGGGAAGCCTGGGTGGCTTAGCGGTTGGGCATCTGTCTTTAGCTCAGAGTGTGATCCTGGAGTCCCAGGATCGAGTCCCACATCAGGCTTCCTGCATGGAGCCTGCTTCTCGGTGTCTCTGCCTCTCTGTCTCTCATGAACAAAATCTTTTTTAAAAAAGTTTCCATATTAATAGTAAGTGCTGTTTCTTATTACTCCATTTCAGCTAATGACTGAGGTTAATATACACGAAGTGGTATTGATGGTCCTCCATGGTCTGGCCTCCACCTCCCTCTGCAGGTCCAGCTCCAGCTGCGGCATTCCTGCATGGACCACACCCCCAAAGCTCTTCTCCTCTGCCTGTATTCCACTTCGTTCAGCTTAAATGCCAACTCCACCTAACGAATGAACTGCTCTTTCCTCTGCCTTCTCCGTATTGAATGGATCTTTCAGTTGCAAGCACAGACATTAACTCCAGCCAGCCAAACAAAAGGGATTTACTAAGCGCAGAAGTATGTCATTGTGTCTGTCAACATCTGGCAGGGGCAGAGCTGAGCACGCAGTGGTACTTGAGGTGAACCTAAAGAAGGGAGTATTTATGAAAGGTTGCTCAGAGTTAAGGGAAACTAGAGGGGATGCAGTACTCGGGGCTAGTGACAGCACTGCTCACTGCCAGGCCTCAAGAACAAGATAGCAAAGAGGAAGAAGCCACCTGCCAAGGATCTTTGGGTGAGGAAAGCTGCCAACCCACAGCCCAGCAGGCAGAAACCAGAAAAATAAGCACCTTGGACTCCCTCCGCCTCCTGCCCTTATATCTCCTGCCAGTCACTCCCATCTGCTGAACCCAACAGGAAGCCAGATTGTTCTGCTCCCCATAGGGGAGCCTCCCACCCTCCCAGGATGGAAGACAGGGTGGAGAAGGGAAGGGGGGAGGAAAGTGGATATAGAGGGCCACAATCTCCTGCCCAGTAATGGAAGAGCTGCAGAACCAAAACCAGATCTCTAAGGTGTCAGACGGCAACCAAGGCCAACACCCGACAAATTCAGCCAGTAAAGATACAAGCACTTTTTGATTCACACAGCTTATTACTTACACAGGCAGATTAGCCAAAGGTGCCAGCTCCACATGGTCCTTGTTGCACACAACAGAAGGATGACTACAGTGAGGGTTGGAGGATCTCCTATTCCTAAGAAGCCAGTTCTGGAGAACACCTGGGTGGCTCAGCAGTTGAGCACCTGCCTTTGGCTCAAGGCGTGATCCCATGATCCTTAGATCGAGTCCCACATTGGGCTCCCTGTATGGAGCCTGCTTCTCCCTCTGCCTACGTCTCTGCCTGTGTCTCATAAATAAATTAAATTTTTAAAAAAAAGCCAGTTCTAGATGCAGTTAAGCTGTTTTATGGTCTACAGCTCTACTTGGAAGGTGGTAGGGCAGAAAGTCTCACACTTCAAAGCCTGGGAAGCCACATCTCCTGACAGTCTCCAATGGGACAAAGTCACTGGAGATGCCCTTGGGTTAGTGCCTCATGAGCCCCCCATCCTCTCCAGTCCCTGGAGGACCACTCAGATGAGCTGAAGGTCAGGTCATTGTGGGTGCGTGCTAGGGCACTGGGCAAAGTGGTTCCCCCAGGGAAGTCTCTCAGGCAGCTCCACAGAGCTTGGAGGCACAGGCTGAGGAGCTTCTCTCTAAAGCACCAGGTCTCAGATGATCCAGCTCCAAGCATTCTCTCTTCCAACTTTCCAATCCTTGGGAGAGAATTCAGCTGTCCCAGCTGTGGTCTGGAGGGGACACCATCAGCTCTTCATGAACAGATGGGGACCCTGGACCCACTCCCACATGCCCAGCAGCTTTCAGAGATAGGCCACACCTGTCTGGACCCTACCTGCTTCTGCTCTGAAGTGTTATTTCCATCTCAACTAATGGGGAGGCAGATGCAGCAGGGTCTTTGAAAACAGCAATAATAGAGTGACTGACATGACTCTTAACCAGAGAGAGCCGGCCCGAGGTAGAGGGGATTTCTGGCCCCACCAGAGACTGGAGCTGCTTTTAAACACCTACATAAAGCAGTATATACATACAGTAGTTTAATAAAGAGAAAGATCATGTCAAATTTATTACCCTTAAGTTCACGTTGACAAAATATACATGGGAATGTTTTCACCTTTTGTTAAAAGAGCAAGCAGAAAGCATGGTTAGGAGGGATCAAGGGAAGTCTATCTTAACCCAAGGACACTAAGGCCTGGTTCTGCTGGTTAATAAGCAGGTGAATGACCAGCAAAAGGTTAATAAACAAACGCCTGGCTGATAGGGAAGGGATTATGGTCCTTTTCTTCTTATCATTAAATGTTTCCAGGAATACACAGGCATGAAGACATTCCCAAAGAGTAAAGGACGTCATCATCTCTGCTGGCTTAACCCAGCAGAGCCCCTGCTGGAAGAGCCTGTAGGCAGGCAGACTCACCAGCAACCCTACAGCTTGGTGGGCTGCGGAGGGGTGAGGTGGACAGGCCCGCTGGGCGGGGACAGCACCATAGGCAGTGTGTTGCTGCCCCTCTCGTGCCAGCACGTGTCCAGGATGGGGTAGAGCTTGCCCTGGAAGTCAGCCTGGAATGTGTAGAGTAGCCGCAGGTCATCAGGGCGGTCAGCATCGAAGAAAGTGAGCTCTCCTTGCTCATAGTGCAAGTAGACACCGATACGGTGGGGGTGACCAGCCACAGGCAGGGGCACCCGAGGGCAGCTGAAGGCCTCATACACCCGGCCCTCCTTCAGGCCAATGAGCCACATGCCGTTCTCTGGGGACTTGCTCAGCTTGCCCTTGCGACTGGCAGTGCCCTTGATGACTCCCAGGCGCCAGTCGCTCTTGTTGCCCACCACCACCTCCCAGTAGTGACGACCGCAGGAGAAGCCCCGGTTGGCCAGGACACAGGTACTATAGTCAAAGCGCTCAGGTTGGCTGGCACGCCGCTGGGCCAGAAGCCCACACTGCACCACTGTGTTGCCCTTGGAGAGCTCCAGGAGGGGGTGGGCCGTGGCTGGGTCTAGCTTGAGGGACTCCGGGGCTGAGAGAGATCAAAAAAAGTGTTTTTAAGCTACACAGAAGGCAGCAGACCCTGAGCTCCTCAAGGGAGGAACTGCAGTGGCCTCATCCCTGTATTCGAGAGGCCATCTAAGGAAGGGCCAAACACAGAAGAGGGAACCCTAAAGATGTTTGCTGAATGCATGAACAATTCCTGAAGGGTGGAAAAAAATGGACATCTGTGGAGGAGGCATTCTGGCTAAGGGAAAGGGCACCCACCCAGGGTGCTTGAGGAACTCAGTCTGTTAAGTGTCGGACTCTCAGTTTCAGCTCAGGTCACGGTCTCAGGTCATGGTCTCAGGGTGTGAGATCAAGCCCTGTGTTGGGCCCCGTCCTCAGTGATGAGTCTGCTTGGGCTGCTTGGGATGCTCTCTCTCCTCTACCCCTCCCTCAACTTGAGCCCTGGCTCTTTAAATAAATTTTTTTAAATAACAACAACAAAAAAAAGGAGTTACACAACTTGTCTTGGCCAATAAGACATGGAGCTGAGCTTGAGCCCAGGGTGTCTAGTGGATCCCCAAAGCCACGCTCTCACCACTAACCCATGCACACAGCTTTCCAGTCTTCTGGGCCCTAAGCCCTGGCACAAGTGACAAACTGCTGCCCACCCTGCAGGGCAGTCTTCAGGGAAGAGAGCAGGGTCAGAGCCCTACCTGGCAGAACTTTGCGGAAGAGCCTTTTCCACACGGTCAGCTTGATGTCCGCCTGGTGGAGGCCTGGCTTGAAGGAGATGGGGCTGAAGGTGCCTTCCAAAGGCCGGGCCTGCTGGAGCTCTGCACTGAGGGTGATAGTTCACCATGACGGCAGAGCTGCACACCAACCCCACCCCTTCATTCTCACCCACGTTCAACAAGCCTCTTGCAGCTCCAAAGACTGCGCATTCAAGATGCCAGTCATTCCCTCCCCTCCACCCTGCTCTGAGGGCCTGCCCCCTTCCTGGAAGGAGAAACACTCTATCAGGGCAGGTATGAGACCAGCAGCATCACCTTGTGATGGGGCTTGTTAGAAATGTCTCAGGTCCAACCTCAGTCCTGCTGAATCAGAAAGTGATTACTAGAGCCCAGTGATGACTTAATGAGCCCTCCAGGTGGTCCTGATGCACACTAACGTTTGAGGACAGCTTCTCTATACTGGGCGACCCCGCCCCTAGCCACAGCTGGAGTACACACCTGCTCCCCAACAGCCTCACTGTCCATTCATTTAAACCAACGCTCCTGAGCTGATTGTCCCTAAGACTAAAGGAAATTTGAAAAAACAAAAAAAAAAAAAAAAACGAGGAGATCCTCACAATCATGGTCTGACGAAGGCGGAGGAACTGCATGGTTGTTCATTTGCTGGGACTGGAACATGGATCCAATCCCTTCCCACACCATGGTGCAGGATTCAAGGCCCCTCATTCTGGCTTCTACCCACCTCTCCCATTTGTCACCCATTCTGCCCTGCATCACACGTTTTACAGCACTAGTACTAAGTTCATAATTCTCCCAAGTACACGACCTACTTCACCCTTTCATGTGACCATTCCCCACTCTGCTTGCCTGGCCAACACCCATTCTTGATCCTAAGCTCACCCACCTGTGCATCATCTTTGCCAATCCCCCCACCCCCAAACCCAAACCATCTCCTGTTATTTCTGTAGCTCATGTGTGAACTTTTATGGTTTTAGGTACCCACGGTGATGTAACCACAATTCACCATCTGCCGCCCACCAGTCTTTGAGACCCTTAATGGCAGGGGCATGACATTCATCTCCATATTCCCCGAGCTCAGTACAGAGTTAGATGTGGGCAGCTGCTGCCAAGGCACTGGTATAGCTGAAAGCAGGAAGTGGTGGAGAGGAGCCACCAGATCCAAGCTGAGAGCTCCTTCCAAGGTTATTACCTGGAGACCATGGAATGATAATTCTGGAAGACAAAACAGAAGGGTTAAGGAATGGGGGAGGCTCTTGGAGCCCTGGGGTCCTTGCCATGGGGGACGCTCCCTTGTCCACTCACCTGGATGAACTTGTGGTAATTCTCATTACTGAACTGCTCCAGCACACGCTCGGCCTGGACCAGCCGCTCCTGAGTGCCCTGAGCCTGCTCCAGCTGCATATCCAGGGAGGCCACGAGGCCACGGGTATGACCCTCCAACCCTTCCAGGCAGCGGGCCTTCTCCTCATCCACCAAGTGGTGCAGCTCCTGGAACTCACGGCGAATCACCCAGCTGAAGACATCAGATTCATTCTGGGACAAGAAGGGGCTGGTTACAGCTGGAGCCTCAGGCAGAACTGCCTGGCTATGGCTGACATCAGTGTCCCTCTGCCCTGGCAGCCTAGGGCTTCCTGGGCCTCCCCGACTGGAGCTGGTTCTAGTAGTTGAGTTCAGTGTTCACGCTGTGCCTGGGCATCCCACATGCAGCCATGGGGAGGGGAACAGAGGCATGGGAGAGCCTGGGCTCCCAGCTCCCATTTCAAATACAGTGGGGCTCTGCTTTCAACTGCCTTAACTATTAAATGTGCACATAAGATTTAGCTTTAGTACAATATTCCACAAATGGAAAGTCTGCAAGGCCCTGGGAGAGCAGACTTCAGACAGTCAGGATTCCCTGAGTGACTCTGAGCTCAGCCTCCATCAGACAAGGATAATGCCACCTCTCTCTCTCAGGGTGAGGAGGGTTAACCAAGGTGATTCTCAGAGGACACAGGCCTCCTGCTCCTGTTTCACAAATGCCTGCAGGGCCTGGGCTCCGTACCCTCCTGAATCATATGAAGATTTCTGTGATCTGTCCTGAATAACTACCCCACCCCAACCTGCACTTACCAGGCAGGTGAAAGAATGTTGTTTGTGAGACTTGTGCTGCATGAGTGACCTTGGGAACCTGATTAGTTGACGTGAGCTGGCCTCTAGACACCAAGAGCTGTAAATCTTGCTTTACATCTCCCTCCAACTCCAGGCTGGGCTGGCCCCCCAGAATGGAATCTGGGAGAAGGGGCAAGCACACCTAGCCCAGGCTCTTTGAAGATGTAAAGACATGGTAACAGAGGAATGCAGCTCACTCCAAACTGCAGAGATGAACAAATGTTTAACTTCAGACTGTCATTTGCCCTATAAATACAACCCTTATGGGGATGGCCAGTTGCAAGTCTCACTTGAGGAAAAGACACTCCACCCAGGCCTCTACCTCAGGCTTCGCCACTGAGGAGGTTGGATGTTTTAAGTGTCTGATGTCACTGTGTCTTATTCTCCTTTACTGCTTATTATTGATTGCCCTCCCTAATCTAAGCACACATTTCCTTTTTCTTGTTTCTATTAGGTTTTAATACTATCCATAAAATGTTTTCTCCCATTCAAAACTGAGAATATGGCTGTGAATCTTTTGTTCAGAACACTCCTAGCCCCAGTGTGCTTGTCACTCCGGAAAAGCAGAAAGCCACCAAGCTTTTCTACACCTTTGCTCCAAGGTAGTAGGTGGGCACTACATAGACTGCCAAGGTGAAGCACAGAGGGCAGAAGAGTTATGCCCACACTTTGAGCTGTTTACCTCTGGGACTTGGGTTCTGTGTTATCTCAGTCCCAAGGACAAGAGGGACAAAGCCAACTTGGACAGAGTCCTAACAACTGAGTTGATTTCCCTGAGGGGACTTGCCCTTTTCCCACTCTGCCCTAGAATACTTTGAATTCTGGCTTTATATGAAGGCATGGATTTCTGTAAAGAACATATCAAAAATGGGCCCTGTAGAAAAGGGAAGGTGGCCAGGCCCAGGGTAAGGGTACAGAGGAAAAGGGCACTCACAACAATCCGGGTCCTATTGTTCACCAGTTTGGCAATATGCTCATCCACCTTCTTCTGCTCCCGCTTCAGGTCAGAGATGAGAGCCGCTAGCTCCTCCTGGAGGCAATGTACCATGACCTTGTGAGTAGCTGGACCCCTTCACCTTTTCAGCTCTTTGGGACAAGCCCTGAGCTTCACCCTTCCAGGCAGCATCCCAATGGCCACAAGCATCCCAGTGGAAACAGGGAAAGAGCTAGCTGGGTACTCTTGACTCCAATATAGGTTAAGATTATTCAAGAATATTCCACATTGAGGGCAGGAATTACCCAGATAGAAAAGGATCTCCAGGTCATCCCTCTTCAGAACATGGAGATAGGGGATCCCTGGGTGGCGCAGCGGTTTAGCGCCTGCCTTTGGCCCAGGGCGCGATCCTGGAGACCCGGGATCGAGTCCCACGTCGGGCTCCCGGTGCATGGAGCCTGCTTCTCCCTCTGCCTGTGTCTCTGCCTCTCTCTCTCTGTGTGTGACTATCATGAATAAATAAAAATTTAAAAAAAAAAAAAGAACATGGAGATGGATGCTAAACACTATAACCACTTGGAAGTCACTACACAATATCCAAGAGGGGCGATGATCACTCTGAAGCCAATATTCCCTGAATGGAATGCTGGCCATTGGGTACCCACTAAGTAAACTCTCTGGTCACCAGCAGGTCTAGAATCAGTGGGCATTTGATCAAGGTATCACAAAAAGCCCGGCCCCAAGAGAGACCAATGGTATATGCAGTTGTCCAGGTTTACCTAGGGAGACCCTACTCCCTGTAAAGACCTAAGTCTTCCCTAGCAGGCTTGGATCCAGCTGGGATTTGGGGCCTTCCCAGGCTGATAAACTTACTTCTCCTAGGCTTCCCTGGCCCCAAATTGGAGTTGTTGTTTTTAAGATTTTATTTATTTCAGAGAGAGTGAGAGCTAGAGAAAGAGCACAAGCACACACAGGGAGAGGGAAAGAGAGAATCAGACTCCCCACTGAGCAGGGAACCTGACACAGGGCTCCATACCAGGACTCTGGGATCATGGCCTGAACCAAAGGCAAATGATTCTTTTTTTAAATATTTTATTTATTTATGATAGTCACAGAGAGAGAGAGAGAGAGACAGGACAGAGACATAGGAGGGAGAAGCAGGCTCCATGCACCGGGAGCCCGACGTGGGATTCGATCCCGGGTCTCCAAGATCGCGCCCTGGGCCAAAGGCAGGCGCCAAACCGCTGCACCACCCAGGGATCCCCAAAGGCAAATGATTAACCAACTGAACCACCCAGGCACCCTCTGACTATTAAGTGTTCAACCAGGACTACCTACAACCCCATCCAGCTGCGCTACTTAAGTGGAGCCTTGCTGGTTTGTGCACATGGCGCATACATGATCTTTGGCTTAAGATAGTTCCAAAGAAGAAATCAGCAGCAAAAGAGGCACCTGGCTGGCTCAGCTGGAAGAGCATGTGACTCTTAATCTCTCAGTTGTGAGTTCAAGTCCCACAGCCGGTGTAGAGATTACTAAAAAATAAATAAAAGTAAAAAAAAAAAAAAAAGAATCCAGCTGCAAAAGCCTTTCGGAAAATGAGCTGAATAAAGAATAAAGCCAGTATAGGGGTATATGTACACAGAATCTTGCTCTGGATAATGAGGCATTGGAAGATCTTCCAGCAACCCAAGAATGGAATTCCAGTGGTAATTCTCCTGAGGCACGGAGAGATGAGATTATTCTTTCCCTCTTTCCTGTATACTGGGTCACTGTGAGAGGAAACAGAATCATACAAATAAATAATCTCAAGATCTCAATCAATAGGAGGAAAACAGGAATGCGTGAAAAGGATCCAATAAGAACATAATTTTGTTGCATCACAGAGAAGAATTTGGGATCACAAACACCCACATCTAAAAACCAGGACCCAAGTGGTCCCAGGCTCCAAGCCAGAAATGATGAGCAAGCTCCTGTGTGTTTCCTCTTTCCTGGGCTAATAAAACACAGGCTCAATTTCACTGCACTGCAATTTGGCTTCCTCCTGTCACACTCCACTAAAACTATTCCTGCCAAGATAATCAATTCTTACTGCTAAATCCTACAGACTCTTTCCAATCCCCAGCAGGCATTTCACACATGTGATCTTGTTCTCATTAAAACACTCTGATTTCCAGGAGGCCATATTCAGCCAGTGTTCGTACTCTGTTGATTCTTTCTCTGTCCCTTTTGGGGTGCTCCATCTACCCAAATCTTAAACCCTGGTCTCCTTGGGGGTATCATCTATGTCTTCCCTATCACTCTGCAGACTATCCTGGTTGGTTTTCTCCACTCCTGCGGCTTCAATTACCACCTATATGTAGTTATTCCAGTCCTACACCCCCAGCCTCTTTCTCCAGTCCACCTTCCAGCAGAGTGTGTGGACTATATCACAACTCTGCTTAGAACCCTCCAGTGCCCCCACCACCATAATGGTCCTCAGAATAAGCTACAAATCCCTTCATGTGTCACATAAGCCTTACCATGACCTGGCCTCCACTTACCTAACTCTCCCCTGAGCCTAACAGAACAACTTATAATTCCTTAAATATCTCTCCCTCCTGATCTTTTGCAGGGCTGTGTTTATACATGGAATGCTTTCCTCCCCTTCTTTTCCTACCAAGTCTTCCCTATGGTTAGGTCTTGGTTTAACAGTCTGCTTCTTCCAGGAAACCTTCCTTCCCTGACCATCTGAGATCCTGCAGGAGCTACATTCAAGATGATCTCCTCACTGCCTATACTTAACCCTGACAATAGCACCCAACACATGGGACTCTCTGCCAGACTCCCAGGCTGTGAGCTCCCCAGGGTGGGGCAAACCTCTTGCTCACTATTGTACCATAGGCTTTAGCACAACACCTAGCACACATTAGGTGCCGATAAACATCTGTGGGTAAGAGGGGCTGGTGGATGGCTGGGTTGGCCCTGTACACATTTTCATACTTGTCTTCCAGGGTTGAAGCAGCAAAGAAACACTGCAACTCAGCCAGGAAATCCCTGCAACTCTGCCTTCAGATCTTGATGCTCTTTCTTTTCCCTGCCCCTATCACCTGTATTTTGTCAATCCTTACCTTTACTCTCCCTTCCTCCCAAACACTATGCCCGGTACCCTGTAACAATTCACTTCCAAGAATCCTTCCCACCCTTCTTTGATCTGTTGGGAATAGAAAGAAAACTGGCCACAGTCTGAGTCCTCACTCTGCCACTGACAAACTGTATGACCTTGGGTAAGATCCTTACCTTCTCTGAGCCTGTTTCCTCATTTGTAAAGTACAACAATAACCCCACCCTTCATAAATCTTAGATCAACATTTTAACCTAAAATATTCACCTTAAATGATGATCTGCTAGATCTGAGGCAAAAGTCCATGAGACCAGGAATCCACGGTTTTTGCAAATACTCTTTTAAGCTTTTACTACATGCTAAGCATGGCTCTAGGCATGAAAATACCTGAGGAAATAAAAGTGCTTGCCCTCATGCATATTCTGGGAGCACTCAAAATATAAATGAGAGCTACAAAGAAAAACAGAACAGAGGAATGGGCTATCACTTGACAAGGGGCTCTCCATCATGCAAGTCAGTAGTCCTGAACACCTGCTGGAGATTGGAGCAGCTGCTCAGAACATGATGGATGGATGCATGCTCTACGAGTTCTTTTTTTTTTTGGTTTTTGTTTTTAATTTTTTTATTTTATTTTATGATAGTCACACAGACAGAGAGAGGCAGAGACACAGGCAGAGGGAGAAGCAGGCTCCATGCACCGGGAGCCCGACGTGGGATTCGATCCCGGGTCTCCAGGATCGGGCCCTGGGCCAAAGGCAGGCGCCAAACCGCTGAGCCACCCAGGGATCCCTGCTCTACGAGTTCTGCTCCAGGACAGGGCTGGAGGGAACCCTTTGGTGCCATGTGATGGCACCCAAAGAGTGCAGGAGCTAGGCTTGGTGGATCCCCGATCCCAACCCCCCAGCAGCCTCACTGCCCACCTTCATGCGGCTGTAGACAGTCGAGGCCGGTGTGACACGATGGTGCTGGTGGGAGCCCAGCAGGCCACAGAGGCCGCAGATGAGCTCCTGGTCCCTCTCACAGAAGAGGCTGAGCGGATTCCGGTGGTGCTCACAGACCTTAGGCTCTGGATCCCCAGGGAACTGAAGGGCTTCAATCACCCGTGCCAGGGAGACATTGGGTGGGGAGCTGCTGCTATCCACCTCCTGTTGGCACACTGGGCAGCGGAGCTCTGAGTCCAGGTGGCGGGACAGGGACACCAGGCAGCCCTTGCAGTAGGAGTGGCCACACTGCAGCATCATGGGCTCCTTGAAGACCTCCAGGCAGATGGGGCACTGAAGCCGGTCCTCCAGCTCGGGCACACTCACCTGCCACGCCATCCACAGTGCCTGGCTAGAACAGAGGGCAGCTTCCTCAAGCCTGCTCCCTCCACCCGCTGTGGCCCCACACCCTGGCAAGTGCCACTGGAAATCAGAGTGCCTTGGGTCTCCAGTCCTGGATTCCAATCCCAACCCCTGTGACCTTGGCCCTGTTTTCTATCTTTAAACCAAAGGGCTTAATTGGGGGAAACTCACTTGGATATAGGATTCTATATATTTCACTCTGATTTGGAGGTAAACACAAAAAGGGCCGTCTCTGCAGGGTCTTTGGAGTGACACCAACAATGTGCCCTCTAGCAGCAGCAAGCATCCTGACTCAGAAATGGACAGCCAAAACAAGCAAAGGTCTTTCCCACCTTCTAGATCAGTTCTCAAACTGGTGAGCAACCATTGGAAGCACAGTGATAAGACTGCTGAGTCACCCATCACATTTTCCAAGAGCCCCAGAAATCTGCATTTACAACAAACACCCCCAGGTCATTCTAAATGAACTACCTGCTTTCTCAGAGTCCACTGGGATGTCCACCAGATCTGCTCAGTCTTGTCTTCTCCCCAGGATGCAACAGAGCCGCTAAGAGACGTGAGGACTGCAGCTGAATGCCTGCTCCACCCTTAGTCTCTGACCCTTAGCTCCTCCTCCTTTTCCAGCAATACCCGAGTCAAGGTCACCCAGAATCAGGTGGAACCTGGGCCACATCACGGGACCAGGGAGGCAGCCTCCTTTCACCTGGCAGCATTGATAATCCCAACATTCAGGTGCTCACCTTGGCCACACCTTGGGGAAGGGGGAGAGACGGAGGAAGTGGGCCCCCAGCCACACCTAACAGACTCCAATCAGGTGTGGACTCATGCTTCAACACAATTCTTTCTGAATCTATACTTTGAAGGTATTTTTATTTATTCAAGTTTTTGAGATAGGTGTTCTATAAAGGGCACAAATCTTATCTACATGCTTGGATGTACACATTCCACGAGAGTATACTCACTCTCAAGATCTACAGAATATTTCCAGCACCCAGAAGACACCCTATGTGCTTCCCAGTCAAAACCCCTTAACAAAGATAGCTACTAACCTGACTCTTATCATCGTAGATTAATGTAGCCTGGTTTTGAATTTCAAATAACCAATTACCCAGCACATGCTCTTCTGTCTCACTTCCTTTACTCAGTATTTTTGAATTATGAAATTTTTTATATAAAATCTTTCAAAGTTTTAGAAGTTAAACATTTCTTTTATACAGTCGATAAATATTAGTCTTAACACACTATGCATATTATGTAGGTGTGGTAAAAAGTTATTGGAAAAGAGATGAAGATGGGTGTCCAGGAGTGTTAACAAGAGCTCTAGGGGTGCCTAGGTGCCTCAGTAAGTTAAGCCTCCAACTCTTGGTTTTGGGTCAGGTCATGATCTCACGGATCATGGGATCAAGCCCTGTGCTAGGCTCACACTCAACAGGGAGCCTGCCTTTCCCTCGCCATCTGCCCCTCCCCCCTTCATGACTTTTTTTTTTAAAAAAAGTGTTTAGATGAATAAAGAAACAAGAGCTCTAGACCAGCAGGACACAATCCTTATAGGCCTAAGCATCCCTCTCTGCCAGCTGGGGCAATCTCTACCCCATGACAAGCAAGACCAAGGTCTGGCACAGGCATGTGGAAAGCTAACTGATTTGTTAATTTAACAAATATTTGTTGAGCACCTGCACATATGGAGCACCTGCTATGTATCAAGCAGTAAGCTGAGCATTAGGGAGACATCAAAGAACAAAACCTATGAGGTTTCCATCCCTTCAGAATTTGTAATATAATAGGAGTAGGTGTGGGGTAGGATCTAAACAAGACAACATCATGATATTAAATGCTTGGTAGGGGCAGCCCGGGTGGCTCAGCGTTTTAGCGCCGCCTTCAGCCCAGGGCCTGATCCTGGAGACCCGGGATCGAGTCCCATGTCGGGCTCCCTGCATGGAGCCTGCTTCTCCCTCTGCCTGTGTCTCTGATTCTCTCTGTGTCTCTCATCAATCAATAAATAAAATCTTAAAAAAAATAAAATCCTTGCCAGGAAGTAATGATATGAAGAACAAAAAGGGCAAGAGGTAATGAGTTGTTTGAGGAACATGTCACAAAGGGGCAGGGCAGAGTCTCTGAGGATGAATGGTTGAGCTGAGGTTTGAAGGACACAAAGACGCCAGCCACCTAAAATACTATAGGAGGGCAGACCAGGCAATGCGCAGCAAAGACTCCAAGGCTAGAAAGAGCTCAGTATTTATGAGATACACTAGAGGAGACCTGAGTAGCTGGAGCATAGTGAGAAGAAACACCAGGAGGAGGTCAGAGGAGTTAGCAGAGAGGGCCTTGCAGAGGAGGGCAAAGGTTTAGATTTAATTTCAAAGGCAGGGGCGCCTGGATGGTTCTGTCAGTTAAGCATCTGACTCTTGATCTCAGGTCTTGATCTTAGGGTCTTCAGTTAGAGCCTACGTTGGGGCCCAGCATGCAGCCTACTTAAAATAACAATTTCTAGGGCAATAGGAGCTATTGGAGGGTTTTAAGGCAAGGGAACAGAGTCTGACTTGTATTTTGAAAAGACCACTCTGGCCACTGTGTAGATAATGGATCATAGTAGCTTCAGCATCTCAGTGGATAGTGAAGCCTGATATAGAAAATATCAAGGTGAAAAAAAAAATTTCAAGGTGAAATGGTAGGTGGGGGAATCTAGAGGCAGACAGCCTGAGGACACCCAGGTGGAGCAATTGAGTAGCAGTGGTCTGCAAGCTTCAGCAAACAGAATCACCTGAGGTGCTTGTGAAAACACAAATTTCTGGGTTCTGGCCTGAGTTTCTGGTTCAGGAGCTCAGGGTCGGGCTCAAGAAATTCTAGACAACACTGCTGCTGGTCTGGTAACTACACTTTGAGAGCCACTGAAAAAGGCAATTGGGTACAGCAAGCTGGAGCTGTGGCGCTCAGGGGAGGCTCTAGGCTCATCAGGAATATACCACGTGTTTAAGTACATCATATATTTAAATTGTGGGAATAGCTGGAATCTCTCTGGGATGAACAGAGAAGGGCAAGAGTCCAAGGACAGAGTCCTGAGATTGCTACTGTGTAGAGATCAGGAAGAGGAAAATGACTGAAAAGAGACAGCAAGTAAGGTAGGAGGAAAATCAGGAGAGCACGGTGACCAGGAAGCAGATCGATACGACCCCTTACCAGTAGAGAACTTTTCCAGGCACCTGGGTGGCTTAGTCGGTTAAGCATCCAACTCCTGATTTCAGCTCAGGTCATGATCTCAGGGCATTGAGATCAACCCCTGCATTGGGCTCCACACTCAGTGGAGAGCCTGCTTGAGGATTCTCTCCCTCTGTGCACACACTCATTCTCCAAGGATAAATATCTTAGATATCTTTTTAAATATTTTTAGATATTGTATAAAAATATTTTTAAATAAAGTTAAAAAGAAACAATAAAGAACTTTTCCAGACAAGAATCAGGAAGACATGCAGAAAAAGAGGCAAGAGGATTCAAAGCCTGAGAAGATTCAGCACGCTGTTGCTAATACTGATGTACGGGGAGCTCATGAGCAAGGGCCGGAGAGAGGCCACTAAGAGCTAAGTGAGGCCCCTGGATGATAGGTGGCAAGGACATGGGGACCTCCAGTATATTGCTGCAAGGATATGGACTTACCAACATGAATGGGCTTCAGGTTCTTCCCCAGAGCCTCTATTAAGGCTAAGGCCTTGACTTTAATCCAGCGAAACTAGCGTCAGATTTCTAACCTCCAAGACTGATGACAAATAGCTGAGATCATATATACCTGTTGCTCTTAACAGCTAATTTTCTGGTAATTGATTATGACAACAGTAGGAAACAAATACAAAAGAGAAAAATGTTAAGGAGAGGTCAGCTTCATCAGACGCTGACAAGACTGCAGTAATCTGAGGACAGAGGTGTCTTGCGGATTGCGGCATTCAGAGCACTGTTGGTGACACTGAGCAGGAACAAGTGGTGTTGAAGAGAAAATGGAGGGGATCCCTGGGTGGCGCAGCGGTTTGGCGCCTGCCTTTGGCCCAGGGCGCGATCCTGGAGACCCGGGATCGAATCCCACGTCGGGCTCCCGGTGCATGGAGCCTGCTTCTCCCTCTGTGTCTCTGCCTCTCTCTCTCTCTGTGTGTGACTATCATAAATAAATAAAAATTAAAAAAAAAAGAAAATGGAGTTGGGTACAAAATAATTGAGAAAGCCTGCGAAACAACTCTTGTGAAAAGTTTTCCAGGGATCCCTGGGTGGCTCAGCGGTTTGGCGCCTGCCTTTGGCCCAGGGCGCGATCCTGGAGACCCGGGATCAAATCCCACATCGGGCTCCCGGTGCATGGAGCCTGCTTCTCCCTCTGCCTGTGTCTCTGCCTCTCTCTCTCTCTATGTCTATCGTGAATACATGAAAAAAAATAAAAATAAAAAAATCTTATTTAAAAAAAAAAAAAAGAAAAGTTTTCCTGTGAAGAGTAGGAAAGGGAGCCACCTGTGAGACGGGGGACAAGGGGGGCTGGGGACTTGTTTACGGCGAGGCCTTCTAGGACACATCTAAACTGCAGAGGGATCCCTGGGTGGCTCAGCGGTTTGGCGCCTGCCTTTGGCCCGGGGCGCGATCCTGGAGACCCGGGATCGAATCCCACGTCGGGTTCCCGGTGCATGGAGCCTGCTTCTCCCTCTGCCTGTGTCTCTGCCTCTCTCTCTCTGCGACTATCATAAATAAATAAATAAATAAATTTAAAAAATAAATAAATAAATAAGTAAATAAACTGCAGAAAGGACCCAGTAGTCAACGCAAGGTCTACTTGCAGAAGAGGGGAGACCTCTCAGTCCTGGAGCAGGCAGGCAACGAAGGATCCGGGGAACCAGCCGCAGGGCCGCGGTCGGGGTCATCCGTGCTTTGCACGTCCTCAGGGGTAACGTACAGATTCCGTAGATTTAGTGGCGGGAAATGTGAGCGACGTGGTCTTATTTTCTCATGAACTGGGCATTTTGGCTTTAAAGGCCTGTCTGTGCCTAAACGTCTCCGGCGCAAAAAGGAAGATGAGGAAAAATGGAAAAGGGAGATACCCCACTTGTGCGAAGCCTGACGCTTTTGGCAGCAGCAGACCGTTTCTGGAAGTGCGTCCTCCCCAGCGTGCTCCCGCCACAGCCTCTGCCCCAGTCCCCAGGCCAGCCCACGCGTCCTGGCCAGGTGCCCGCGATCACCCAGCACCCCATCCAGCGCCCCCTCCACATCCCAGCCACATGCCCCTTCTCATTCCCCGCATTCCGCTCACGAGCCCCATCTTGCCACATGCGAACCCTTCACGTTCCCCATCGCGCCTCACGAGCCCCCCCCCCCCCCCCGCCCCCGACCCCACCTCCTTAGGATCCATGCATCCGCCGCCAGGCGCTCCAGCTCGCCCGGCAGCCTCCGCGAGTCACCGCCCAATCTCCCACTATGCTCCGCGCCCCATCTCGCTCAGTGTGTCACGTGCCCCATCAGGATCTGTGCTTCCCCTCCACATGCCGGTCACACACACACTCGCCGCCGCGCGTGTCCCCTTCATGTGCCTCATCACGCTCAGCATGTCCCCACAGCGTGCTCCATCTCGCACGGTGGGTCCCCAAGCCGTGCCCCATCACGCCCTGCGTGACTCTTCCACAAGCTCCCTCACGCTCCCCGCCTTCCCAGCGCGAGCCCCATCATGCCCCAGCCTCCTACTCACGTGTCCCATCATGCTCCGCGCCTCTCCATCACGTGCCCTGCCACGTGTTTGAGTCCCCGCCGCGTGCTCAGGCGCGCTGCCTTAGGCCCCCCGGGCAGGGCGGTTGGCGGCGGTTGGCCCTGAGCGCTGAGCGCGGGGCTCCTGAGCTGAGCCGCCTTCGGGAGCGGGAGCGGGAGCGGGAGCGCGCCGGCTATAAAGGGGTGGCTGGGCCACTGCTGGGAAGGCGAGGGGGTTGAGGGCTCGCGCTGCGGCCCCGGCCGCGTGGGGATGGGGGGGAGCACGCGGAGCCCAAGGGTCCTGCAAGGGGACAACGCTTCCGGCCAGGTGAGAGGCTGCGCGCCGTGGAGTCTTGGGCGCGGGGCTCGGGAGTCGGGGTGCAAGCCGGCGCTCTGAGGTCTTGTGTCTCTCCCTGCCAGTCACCGTATGAGAGGTTAAGTCGGAGGATGCTGGACATTTCGGGGGACCGGGGCGTGCTGAAGGACGTCATCCGAGAGGGTGCTGGAGAGCTGGTGACCCCGGATGCTTCCGTGCTAGGTACCACCTGCCTCCTAGCTGACAGTGGCAAAGTGCTGGGCCTTAATGGTTTTCTGTGCCTTACCTTGGGAGGTGGGGAGGGGAAAGCTGTGTTTAAAAAATAATAATAATAATAAAAACAAAAAGGGTGGAACTCGCTCATTTTGTTACAATTCGGGCTTTTAAGGGAAAGCGAAGGAACCCATCTGTCCTTTGCATGAGGCCACCGTGAACAAGGGACGTTGAGGCCCACCAGCCAAGCTCTTGAATCAGCCAAAGGGCAGGCGTCCAAACGTTGAGCAAAGATTTTTTTCTATCAGGGTGGCAGGCAAAGCACATTGAATTTCATCCTTTTTGTTGTTGTTGTTATTGTTCTTGTTGTTCTTGGTAACAGTTGATATGGAGGTGTGCACATTCCTGGTTTATTTTCCTTGTACTGTTTCTTCTGTCCTAGTGAAATATTCTGGATATCTGGAGCACATGGATAAGCCTTTTGATTCTAATTGCTATAGGAAAACCCCCCGGCTGATGAAACTCGGAGAGGGTAAGTTGAGCTGAGCAGCTGGAAAATAAGGAAATATTTGAGGGAATTCTTCAAGGCATGAAAGACTTTGAGTTGGTATTTCTGAGGCGGGTTTTTGCTAAACCATGCCCTTCTTGTCCATGCCCTTGTCTTGTTTCCCCTTGAGGCCTAGACACTCGGGTGATGGTTTACCTGGCAACGTTACCTTTGCATCCTGAGAACTATGGTGCACGTTCATTTGTTAACTGAACATTTATTGAGGGTTTAGCATCTCTCATGCAGGGTGAAAAGAGAAGATGTACTTCTCAGATGATTAGAACTAGTGGGCTAGTGTGGTGGAGGAGATTGAGCACATTCACAGAATCCAGTGAGGTCCTGGGGGCATAAGTAGTGTTTTGGGAGTGCTTAATGAAGGCCTAGTTGATTTCAGCTGGGAAGATCAGGACAGGCTTCAGGAACGGGGCATTTGAAACGAGCCTTGAAGTTTGAGTAAGATTTCAATCAGGATAAAAGCTAGGCCGGAGGAACTTCCTCGCAGGAGGAAGGAGCTTCATGAACAGTGGTAGGCCAGATTGTTGCAGAGCCCACAGAAGTTGAAGTTTGGGAGTGGTAGTGGGAAACCAACTGAAAAGTGAGTTGGGACCATAGTGCAGAAGGCTTGGCGTATGTGGAAGGATTTGAATTTCCAGGGGGGAAGAAATTGATGACGTTGGATCAGGATGCTCAGCAAACTTCAAGTTCTTTGTCCCTTCTTCCAGATATTACCCTCTGGGGCATGGAGTTGGGCCTTCTAAGCATGCGGAGAGGAGAGCTGGCCAGGTTTCTGTTCAAACCAACCTATGCCTATGGAACACTGGGCTGCCCTCCCTTGATCCCCCCAAACACCACTGTCCTATTCGAGATTGAGCTGCTTGACTTCCTGGACTCTGCTGAGTCAGACAAGTTTTGTGCCCTTTCAGCTGTAAGTTCTGGAGTACCGACATCGTATTTTATAGAGAGAATGGGTTTGCAGTTTTGGTAATTACCCTACCCTGAAGGTGATCCTCTGCCCCACATTCCACCCTGAGGCTCCTGTGTGGTGGTGGAGTTCTCCTGCTTCTTGGTACGTGTTCATCTTAGCTGTGCTTCTTGTGTGGGCAGATGTTCTAAGCCAAGCCCTGACCTTGGGTTCTAGACCAACAGAGGTGAGCTTTTAGTCACTCTCTGCCTAGTTCTTCGTATAAGACGTGACCATTTGCTTCTCAACATTGTTTGGTTTCCAGCAAGTCAAACATTGGTGGGGGTTGACTAAGGTGAACATAGATTTTATTGTCCAATCTAAAATACTTGAGAACAGAAAAGATTCTTTTTTTGTTGTTGTTGTTATGATAGTCACACACAGAGAGAGAGAGAGAGGCAGAGACACAGGCAGAGGAAGAAGCAGGCTCCATGCACCGGGAGCCCGACATGGGATTCGATCCCGGGTCTCCAGGATCACGCCCTAGGCCAAAGGCAGGCGCCAAACCGCTGCGCCACCCAGGGATCCCCAGAAAAGATTCTTAACTGGATACCAGGACACCAGGTGTAGACTAGGAAAGTCCCAGGCAAATGGGGACACATGGCCTCTGCCCTCATAACTTAAATGTTACCTTTTCATTGTAGCCTTTCACCTAACCCATCACGTGAACTAGGGCTTGTAATCTCTTCGGCAGCCTTACATGTTCACAGTCATGCTGTCCCACACGGTCTGGTCTGTATGTGTGCCCTTGGAGGTCCACCTAGATTTGTATCTGGCTATGACGTCTCCCCAGCTAAATTGTCACCTCCTCAAGTGAGGGCCCTTACCTTTTTCTCACTTTTCCACAAAACAGATTCTTACAAATACCTGGGGCCCACCTATGGTGTACTGATTGAGAATCTCTGGGCAGGGACAAGGCTAGGACATCTGTGTTTCAAAAGAGGGTCTGTGGGTGATTGACGTGTACCCAGCATTGTGGCCATGAAGACCAGTAGGATGCCCAGGCAGACTAAAGACCCATTAAATGCTTGTTGGATAAGTGGTGGTTGTGAGACCTATTTTCCATGCTTGGCAAGTTCCAGCAGTTTCTGGAATTCTACGTGACCATGTTTCTTGAGGGAGCATCTCTGGGAGGACTAAAGGAGTAGACCACCTTTTTGCTCTTGTGCATAAAACGAGAGCATGTAATACCAGTCTCCCTTAGCTTCTGCCGGGAGCCACAGGGATGACCTCTGCAGGAGCACGAAGCCCAGTACATGGCACACAGCAGTAAACAAAAATCTGAAAGAGAAAAACTCACATTTGTAATAACGTTTGCATCATGGTAGTGTGGCTTTCAGCTTCCTTGCTGGGTGTCCTTGTCTTTGGTCCTCAGGAGCAACAAGATCAATTTCCACTTCAGAAGGTCCTAAAAGTGGCAGCTACTGAACGGGAGTTTGGCAACTACCTTTTCCGCCAAAATCGTTTCTATGATGCCAAAGTGAGATACAAACGGGTAAGGATGCTTTAGGAGTATAAACTTCAACCCTAACAACATTTTTTGAAGTTCTTGTTTTTCCCTATTATTTACATGCAGTCATTAAGAAAAAACTCATTAAAAAATCTTCATGCCAGGGGAGAACGACCGGGAGAGGGGACATGGGATTTGGGAAGCCCAGTAACGTTCTGTGTTTGTGTCTGGATGTGGTTACATGGGTATGTTCAGGTTGTGAAAGTTTGTTGAACTGTTGACTTGTTTTTGTAATTATGTGTATTTCAGTAAAAAGTCTTTAAAAGCTTTCATTCCAGAGTTAGGTCTTCTGTCAACTGACTTTCCATCCCATTTGCCATCTTCATTTTCTGTCTCTCTGATAGCAGAGATTTCTCTAGCTCTGAGGTGTCTCCATTCCCATCAGACTTTGGATTGTGGTTTGGCTTCTAGCGTAGGTTGTACTGACGGGAATTCACTGTTTGCTTTGTAACTCATTCAACAAATATGAATATTTTCTGTATCCCAAACTCTGCCCTAGGTTCTAGAGGCAAACAGGACCAAGTTTAGAGCCTAAGGAGCATTCTGATTTTGTCTCATTTGTGAAGAGAACTAAATCATTCAGGATCTGCATTCAGCTGCAAGCAACAGAATCTTGAAAAAGTGTACTTTAACGAGATTTAGGGGCATGGGGTGGCTCAGTCGATTAAGCATCCCACTCCTGATTTTTGGCTCAGGTCATGAGATCGTGCCCTGCATCAGGCTGTGTGCAGCCTGCTTAGGATTCACTCCCTCTCTCTCAGCTCCTCCCCTCCTCACAAGCTCGTGTGCTCACTCTAAAGTAGTAATTAATTAATGAAAAATAAACCATAATATAAATTTTCTTCAAATGAGAGGGAAAGCAATCCAAGGTGGTAAGTCAGTTCCATGAAGCCATCAGGGATCCACATTCCGTCTTTCTGCTCCACTACCCTTAAATGCATCCTTGTCTTTTTGATCCCCAGATGGTCCTCCAACCTGTAGCATCACATGATCACCCAGGCAGGAAGAAGGGAGGGGAAGAGAATCTGGTGTACTTACGTTAAGAGCTTTCTGGAAGTACCGCCTGACCCAGTGACTTCCTTTTCTATGTCATTAGCCAAACCCATATTCAGTGGACCCCAGTAATTGTGTAGGACGGTGGGAAATGCAATTTAATTTGTATACTGCTGCTTTGAATGAAATAGAGGCTATGCTAGAGGAGGAGAGAGATGGATTTTGGGTAGGTGGCTAATGGTATCTGCCACAAATTTGGTTTCTCTGTGTGTGCTTAAGACAGACAGACAGAGTACATGAGTGTGTTGTCCTTTGGAATGCTGACAGAATCAAGGTACAGGCTTGGGCTCACAGTTGGCCCGAATCACAGATGTTGTAAAGTTTCTTGATACAGAACCTGCTCACATGGGGGCAAAATCTTCCCAGTGAAGAAAGATCAGTTCAGTCCTTTCATCATTAGTTCTCTTGCCCAGGTCTGGTCCCCAGAGTTGGTCCCTCTAAGTCTGTGTGCAGCTTTTTCTGGCATTTGAGTTGATACTGGACATGCTTTAGTCGCTGTTTTTAACATCTTTTTTCTTTCAGAAGGTGAATCTCTAGTTCTCACTAGCGTTTTCGCTCTATGCTCCAGTGCTCTGGTTCAGAGTACTTGTCCTGGGCTTTCCTGTGATTCTGTTTATGGACTGTTTTGCTTTTTTCTGCTTACCCCTTGTGTTAAGTATTATCCTTGCATTTCCAAAAACATTCTTGTACTTACCTCACACTTGGGAGTTGGCATAACTGAGTATAGAATTCTAGGAATTTTAGCATCCAGTTACCATTCCTCAGGTTTAGAAGATTATTGTTTGATTCCAGCTTTTATAATTGCTGTCAAGAAGTCTGATATCAGGCAGCCCAGTGGCTCAGCGGTTTAGCGCTGCCTTCAGCCCAGGGCGTAATCCTGGAGACCCGGGATCGAGTCCCACGTCGGGCTCCCTGTGTGAAGCCTATTCCTCCCTCTGCCTGTGTCTCTGCCTCTCTCTCTCTCTCCCCATGTCTTTCATGAATAAATAAAATCTTTTTTAAAAAGTCTGATATCAAAAAATAAAATAAAAAATAAAAAGTCTGATATCATTTAGGTTCCTGTTTCTTTCTGTGTGACCTTTTCTCTCTGTAAAGATTAAGGATCTTTTTTCCTTTGGTGTTATTAAATTTTACAGTCATGGGTGTATGTTCTAAATTTTGTTTTGAGCTCTGGGTATATCCTTTCATTCAGGAAACTTGTCCTCTATTTTGGAAATTTTTCTTGAGCTATTTCTTTGATAATTTGCCCTTGTTTGTGTTTTCTTTTTGTGTGTGGGGGGGGCTCTGTTAATTGTTGGACTTCCTGGATTGAGCTTCTACTCCCCCCCCCTTTTTTTTTCAGTGTTATCTTGTTGTTTCATTGTCTGGGAGCTATCTTTGATTTTCTTTGCCATCTATCCCTTTTTTTTTTTTAGGATTTGTTTTAAAGATTTTATTTAAAGAGAGAGAGGGAGAGAGAGGCAGAAACATAGGCAGAGGGCGAAGCAGGCTCCCCACTGGAAACCCAATGCAAGATTTGATCCCAGGATCATACCCTGAGCTGAAGATAGATGCTCAACCACTAAGCAACCCAGGTGTCCCTATTTATTTTATTTTTTAAAAATACTAAAGAGTATGAGCCTGTGGACATGCACAAGTGGAGGGAGGGGGACAGAGGGAGAGGGAGTAGCAGACTCCCCATTGAGCAGGGAGCCCAATGTGGGGCTCGATCCCAGCACTCTGGAATCATGACCTGAGCCAAAGGCAGATGCTTAACCAACTGAGCCACCCAGGTGACACAAGATTTGTTTATTCATTTTGGAGGGAGAGAGGAAGAGTCTCAAGCAGACTCCATGCTGAGCACAGACCTAACGAAGGGCTCAATCTCATGAACCTGGGATCACAACCTGAGCTGAAATCAAGAGTCAGGTGTTTTTGTTGTTGTTGTTTTAAAGATTTTATTTATTCACGAGAGACAGAGAAAGGTAGAAGCAGGCTCCCCACAGGGAGCCAGATGCAGGACTCCATCCCAGGATCCCGGGACCACAACCTGAACCAAAGGCAGATGCTCAATCACTGAGCCACCCAGGCATCCCCAAGAGTGGGGTGTTGAACTGACTGTATCCTATTTGCATCCCTATTTGCCATGTTTCCTAATTTGTGGTTCATTTCTTTAACTTTCCCCAGCAAGAACTTTTTGTTCTTGTTTCATGCATATGTCACCTTCTCTTACGTTTTCAGACTGTTGGTTATAATTAAGTTTCTCTCTGCTTTTCAGGTTTAAAAAATATCTCAATTCTTGGGTGTTTTTTTTTTTCTTGTCTGTAGGAAACTGTCCACTTACATCAGGTTTGGTGGTAGGTCTTTTTTTTTTTTTTTTTTTTTTTTTTTGGTGGTAGGTCTTAGACTCATTAGCTATCACTAGGGCACTGTTACTGTTTCTTACTCATGTGAAAGGCTTGAGGTGACAAACAGGAGCTGGTTGGTAGCTGTGAATCCACAATGTTTTCAGATACCTAGCACTCTCCCACTTCCCTGTATTCCCATTTGTAGGGGAGAGTTCTGGGCCTTGTGATTTAGGATGGTAGCCTCTAAATTACAACCAGCTGGAGGGAAGAGGGCTAAGGGTATGCGCCTGTGAACCTTGTACTGTGGTATGTTTTCCATTCCCTGTTCTTCTGGCTATAACCAGTTGCAAGGAAGGCTAGCAAATACTTCTGTTCTGATTGTATACGTGCCTAGCAAAAAAATCCTGTTACTGTAGAAGATGGGAGGACAGCCAGTCTGAGATGGGAGGCTGTCTTTCCCCACAGAAGCTTTCCCCCAATGTCTTGCGATCTTTGGCTGCCCATTAGGACTTGGGAGAGACATCAAAAGCTGATGAGAAACTCCCAAGCGCTTGGTAGGCCACACTGCAGTGTGATCTTTTGGGCTCTCACATCTCTCTGTCCTGTGGTTTTCTCAGGAGCCACTCCACTCCATCGTCTGCCTGTGTAAATACCTATCTACCAGCGTCCTGGGAGCCGAGCAAGGCGACAGGACAGAGGGTTTCTCTAGCTGTTGTTGGAACTGTCCTTTAATGCCCATTGCCGGTTTACCTCCTTCCTATCACCTGCTGTCCCAGAATCCAGAGCTCCTTTGATTCAATTTCTCCAGAAAATAGACTGATTCCAGAGGTGGTGGGGAGGCGTGGCCACCTCGATGCATAGGGCCAGGGAGTGAGAGGGAACTGGAGTTCCTCCTCTTTTTTTTTTTTTTTTAATTTTTATTTATTTATGATAGACGAGAGAGAGAGAGGCAGAGACACAGGCAGAGGGAGAAGCAGGCTCCATGCACCGGGAGCCCGACGTGGGATTCGATCCGGGATCTCCATGATCGCACCCTGGGACAAAGTCAGGCGCTAAACCGCTGCACCACCCAGGGATCCCTGAAGTTCCTCCTCTCATATTCAACGCCACTTGTGTGCCAGCCTGATTGCTGTTCTGTCAGTTCCCAGGACCCTGAGCCGCAGGCCAGCCCCTCATATATTAGCACTTTTTCTGCCACGTCCGACCCGACTCTGCCATCCATTCTGACATACAGGGTTTGCTACCAAGCCTCTTATTCTTCGCTCTTGTTGGAGTCTGCTTTTCTAATCCTAAGGGCAGGAGAGCCTAAAGGAAGTGTGTGAAGTCTGTCTTGCTCAGCCAGAAGTTTTGCTACATGTTCATGTTAGAAATGTCCTCATTCTTTAAAGCAGCAGATTGGCATTGATTTGCGTGCCACTGTTTCCAGCCTTTTGCTCAGCCTTGTGTGGACATGCAGAAAGACTTCTGCACAAGGCAGAAGGCAAGGTCCTTGCTCTTGAAAAATTTTAATGTAGTTAGAAAGATAAAATGTATTCCCAGCAACTAAGAAATACCTGTAGTATCTAGTACTGTAGGTTTTCAGAGGAGGAAGATTTTTGTGGGCTAGAATATCTGGCAGTGGCTTCTTAGAGGAAGTGGCCTTCAGCTGAGTCTAGAGGGATGAAATGGCAGAGAAAGAGGCAGAACATAATTCTGGGCAGGAGAAAAGAATAAGCAAAGGTAGAGAACAGAGCCTGTTCAGGGGGCAGTTGGCAGATACTTAGTCTAAAACACAGGTTATATTTGGAGGATACCAGGAATATAGAGGTGAGGTAATTAGACTCAAGATGACTTTAAAATGTGTTTGGATGGATCTGGACTTTATGAAGAGGATGGAAGGGAACCAGTGGTGGAAAGGAGAGTGAGGTGATAAAATTATTATTTGGGGAAGAGCCAACAGTTAGTAGCATGCAGGTAGTGGTGTGCAGGAGCTCCTGAGAGCCAAGTGGAAAATTCTCAGGAAGTTTTACAAGCTGGTTAATGTTATTTTGGTAGCTTGAAATCAGCCAGGGTTAAAATACACCACAGGAATAGGCTCCCTTTCCCCCAGGAGCTGGTGGTTAAACCTTTACCAGTACACCACCATATACGGGACATGTTAAAGGGACAGACTTTCGTTAATGCACATTTATTCCTTGTTAGGCACTGCACTAGGCATGTTGTAGCTAAACCCGTCACGGAGATCCAGCAATGTTTCAGAATGTAGGACTCATGAAGATAAACAAAAGTTCTGGAGTTGGTGGTGATTTTGGGGGGATGGGAGGAGGGTGGGGGATAGAGGAAGAGTGAAAATCTTCAGGAGGCTCCATGCTCCGCACAGAGTCCAGTTCAGGGTGTCATCTGACAACCCTGACATCGTGATCTAAGACAAAATCGAGAGCTGCACACTCAACCAGCTGAGCCATCCAGGTGGAATTATTTTCAGAACTGAATGACTAGACTCGATGAAGGTTTTTTTTTTTTTTTTTTTAAGATTTTATTTGAGATAGAGTGCGAACATGAGCGGGGCGTTGGGAGAGCAGAGGGAGAAGGAGAAGCAGGCTCCCCACTGAGTAGGGAGCCTGACTTGGGGCTTGATCTAACCTGAAGGCAGACACTTAACCACCTGAGCCACCCAGGAGCCCCTGATGAAGTTTTTTATAAGTGACAACGAAAACCAAAGAATAGCGTTACTTGAAGATTTCTCATCTGAGGATTTTTTAAACAAGAATAACTGGGAAAGAGGCTAGTCAGCTTCAGTTTTGCTTACTGATGAGAGTAGCCAGATAAAGGTGGCTGTAGAAGACAGTTTCCAGGTGGCAGAATGTCCCATGATTCTGTTTAAGAATGGGACCAGAGCTTAGGGGATAGATTCAAGTTGGGGATATGAGACCTGAAGCAGTTCAGAAGGTGTGAAGGCAATGGACAGAAACTATGTGACAAATCCCCAGGGCTTAGAGATGAAAGAGAAAGTGAAGGGAGGCTGGTGGCTTTCTACCTATGGCACCATCTTGCCTGCTGTGTTTTCCAGTTCTTTCAAAAGGAATCCTCCCTGTGAGTCACGTTGCCGCTGCTCACACTTTGTCTTCATCACGTCTTCTTCCTTTGCTATTGTTGAGAGAATTCACATACCATAAAATTCATTTTTAAAATGTACAAGTGAGTGGGTTTTTGTGTATTCATAATGTTATGCATCTATCAACACTAATTCCAGATCATTTCATCACCTCAAAAAGAAACCCTATACCTGTTGGCAGTTACACTCCATTCCCCCAGCATGCCCTGGTAGCCCCTATGTTACTTTGTGTCTATGGATTTGCCTATTCCTGGACATTTTTAATTTTATTTATTTATGATAGTCACAGAGAGAGAGAGAGGCAGAGACACAGGCAGAGGGAGAAGCAGGCTCCATGCACCGGGAGCCCGACGTGGGATTCGATCCCGGGTCTCCAGGATCGCGCCCTGGGCCAAAGGCAGGCGCTAAACCACTGCGCCACCCGGGGATCCCTGGACATTTTATGTAAAATAGAATCATCAAATGTATCGTGCTTCATGCCTGGCTTCTTTCAGTTAGCAAAATATTCTCAAGGTTCATTCATGTTGTAATGTGTATTAATACTCCATTCTGTCTTAAAATTTTTTATCTTTTGGTAAAAACACATCACCTAAAATTTATCATTTTAATTATTTTCAGATATACAGGCCAGTGGCATTAAGTGCATTCAGTGTTGTACAGGCATCACCACTACCCTTTTTAGAACTTTATCCTCATCCCAAACATTGTTTAGCCATTAAACAAAACTCCCCATTCTCCCCCTTCCTCCAGTCCCAGTAATCTTTTTTTTTTTTAAGATTTTTTAAAATTTATTCATGAGATGGTGGGAGTGGGGCGCAGAGACACACGCAGAGGGAGAAGTGGGCTCCATGCAGGGAGCCTGATGTGGGACTCGATCCCAGGTCTCCAGGATCACACCCTGGGCTGAAGGCAGCGCTAAACTGCTGAGCCACCTGGGCTGCCCAGCCCCGGTAATCTTTATTCTACTTCATGCCTCTAGGAATTTGTCTGTGTACAGGGTATTCATATAAGTGGAGTCCTACAGTATTTGTTTTTGTCTGGCTTCTTTCACTTAGCATAATATTTTCAAGTTTCATCCATGTTGTAGCATATACCAAACTTCATTCATTTTAAGATTGAGCAGTATGTCGTGTGGATCCTTCCATGTTTTGTTCATTCATCAGTTAGTGGACATTTGGATTTTTTCCTCTTTTTGGCTATTATGAATGTTGCTTTTCACATTGGTGTACAAGTTCTTGTGTAGACCTAGGTTTTCATTTTCCTTGGGTTTGTACATAGGAGCACAAGTGCTAGGTCCTGTAGTAACTGTCATGTTTAATTTTTTGAAATACTGCCAAACCGTTTTCCACAGTTGCTGCAGCATTTCACATTGCCACCAATGGTAGGATGGTTCCAATTACTCCACAACCTCACCAGCAGTTATTTTCCATCTTTCAAATTCTAGCCATCCTCGTGGGTGTGAAGCGATATCTCATAAGTTTGATTTTTTCCTGATAACTAATGTGTTGATTAGCTATTTGCGTGTCTTCTTTGGAAAAATGTCAATTCATATCCTTTGCCCATTTTTAATTGGGTTTTCTGTATTCTTATATTTATTTTTTTTTTAATTTTTTATTTATTTATGATAGTCACAGAGAGAGAGAGAGAGAGGCAGAGACACAGGCAGAGGGAGAAGCAGGCTCCATGCACTGGGAGCCCGATGTGGGATTCGATCCTGGGTCTCCAGGATCGCGCCCTGGGCCAAAGGCAGGCGCCAAACCGCTGCGCCACCCAGGGATCCCGGTTTTCTGTATTCTTATAAAAGTTTTTATATTGTCTGTATACTAGGTTTTTTTTTAAAATATGATTTACAAATATCTTCTCCCATTTTGTGAGTTGTGTTTTCATGTTTTTTTTTCTTTTCAGGAATGTAGAATATCTTTTTATTAAAAAATACAAATTATCTGTAGGTTTGGACAATGACAGTAGTAAACCATTATGTTATCAGCTTAAACCAGTAAATGATGGTTATAGTGACTTTTCTTCAGTCATTTTTTTCATGATAACATCCTTCATTTTTTTAATAATAAGTTTATTTTTTATTTGTGTTCAGATAACATCCTTCAAAACACAGAAGTTTTTACTTTTGTAGTCCAGTTTAATCTCCTTTTGGAGATTTGTGCTTTTCATGTAATTTCTAAGAAACCATTATCAAATCCACAGTCATAAAGATTTAAACCTAATGTTTTAAGAGTGGTACAGTTTAGCTCCTACATTTAGGTCTATGATCCATTTTGTTAACTTTTTATGTAGCTTGAAGTGGGAATCCAACCTCACTCTTCCACAGGTTGACATCCAGTTGTCCCAGCACCTTTCATTGAAAATACTACTCTTTCCTGTTGAATGGGCCTGGTCCCCTTCTTGAAAATCCATTGACTACAGAAGTATGGGTTTGTTTCTGGATTTTCAATCTGCATTGTCAATTCTGTTCTATTGACCTATGTGTTTCCTTATGCTGTTACCACACTGGCTTTGCTACTATAGGTTTGTAAATAAGCTTTAAAATTTGAAAGTGTGAGTCTTCCACTTTCTCTTCTTAAATATTTTGGCTATTTGGCATCCCTTGAATTTGCATGCAAATTTTCAGGTCAGCTTGACCATTTCTGCAAAAAAGGCTGTTGAAATTTTGGTAGTGGTTGCTTTGAATCTGTAGATCAGTTAGGGACTATTGCCTTCTTAACTATATTAAGTCTTTTGATCTATGAACATGGGATGTATTTCCATTTATTTAGATCACCTTTAATTTCTTCAGTATTTTGTAGTTTTTAACATACAATTCTTGCAATTTAAATTTACTGTGGCTTCCTTTCATGCTATTGTAAATGGAATTGTATTCTTCGTTTTTGGATTGTTTACTGCTAGATTAGAGACATGCAACTAACTCTCATATATTGGAATTGTGTCCTGCAGCTTGTTGAGCTCAGTTTTGGTTTTGTTTTTTTTTTTTTGTTTTTGTTTTTGTTTTTTTTTTACCTCTAGTATTTTTTTTTCTGGATTCTTAGGGCTTTCGATAATATTATGTACTTCATCTTGAGTGTTTGTCTTCCTTCTTCATAGGCCTTGTTGCTTCTTCACCGACGATCAGCTCCTCCTGAAGAGCAGCACCTGGTGGAAGCAGCTAAGCTTCTTGTTCTCCTTAACCTATCCTTTACATACCTGAGGCTGGAGCGACCCACCACGGCTCTGCGCTACGGAGAACAGGCTCTGCTCATTGACCAGAAGAATGCTAAGGCCCTCTTCCGGTGTGGACAGGTGTGTTGGAGGCCAGGGACTTGAGAACAAGTGCCCAAGAAAAGAAAGCAGTGATGTTCAACTTGGGCACTAGAAAAATGCTCTTTCCTAACCAAGTATGTTTTTAAAACTCTGTCCTTTGCAGGCCTGTCTTTTCATGACTGAGTATGAGAAGGCCCGAGATTTTCTAGTGCGAGCCCAGAAGGAACAACCCTTCAATCATGATATCAATAATGAACTGAAGAAACTGGCTAGGTGAGACCTGTTTGCAGAAGTGCAAACCAAAAAAAGAGGCCAGTGACCATCTGGGAAAGGGATGGTTTGGGAATGTTGCCTAGCATGTGTTGGGAGGCAGCGCCCCCTAGAGCTGGCTTTATGAAGCGCTAAACCAACAGCTCCCAGTGAGAAGGTGGGGCCGACCTCCAGACTAAGTCCGGATCATTTCTCATCTCCCTGTTCCCCACTGCCTATCCCCAAAGTAAGCATCCTAAAATAGGTGGGCCCATGTAATTTGTAAAAAGGGTCTTGTTCTTAAGCTACTCCTCCCTACTTGTCACCAGTTGAAAACCACTGTTCTTGGGATGCCTGGGTGCCTCAGCGGTTGGATGCCTGCCTTTGGCTGAGGTTGTTATCACAGGATCCAGGATCGAGTCCCACATCAGGATCCCTGCGAGGAGCCTGCTTCTCCCTCTGCCTAGGTCTCTGCTTCTCTCTCTGTGTCTGTGTCTCTCATGAATAAATAAATAAATCTAAAAAAACAAAACACTGAAGAGAGGGATCTTTCCAGTCTGACCCATGCCAATAGGGTAACATTCTTGTTACCCACGTAACATACATACCAGTGTTTCAGTAATACAACATTTTGTGATTATGGACATTATTTTCAAAGTTTTCTACAATGAATATATTAACATATAAATAGTGTGTAATTACAATACCTCAAAATCCACTTTTTAGATTTTTTTTTTTTTGGTCCTTCTGTATTGCTCTCGTTGACATTAAGCATTTACACTAGATTGCTAGTTAAAGCTTTTGATGTTAAAAAAAAGTCCGAGGTATGTGCAACTCTTATATTCAGATCCATTTGTCACATTTTAGGCCTTTTAGAACCGTCCAGCAATTTCTTCTGTGGTTTTCTTTTTTAACTGAAACAATTTTTTAAAATTTTTAAAAATATTTTTAAGTAATTTTTACACCCAGTATGGAGCTCAAACTTACAACCCCAAGATCAGAGTTGCATGTTCTATCAACTGAGCCAGCCAGATGCCCCTGTTTTTCTGATTTTTAAAAGTATCTTGTCGGATACCTGGGTGGCTCAGTCGGTGAAGCATCTGATTACAGGGTCCTGGGATCTAGCTCCCATGTCTGGTTCCCTGCTCAGCAGGGATCTCTCTGCTGCTCCCTCTCCCTCTGCCCCTCCTCTTGCTTGTGCGCACACGTGTGTGCTGTCTCTTGCTCTCTCTCTCTCAAATAAGTAAATAAAATCTCTCTCTCTTGTTTGTTTTTTTTTTTAAGTTCCTTTCCAGGCAGCCCAGGTGGCTCAGCGGTTTAGTGCTGTCTTCAGCCCAGGGCCTGATCCTGGAGACCCAGGATCGAGTCCCACATCGAGCTTCCTGCATGGAGCCTGCGTCTCGCTCTGCCTGTGTCTCTGCACCTCTCTCTCTCTCTCTCCCTCCCTCTCTCCTCTTCCCTCCCTCCCTGTCTCTCATGAATAAATAAATATAATCTTAAAAAAATAAAAATTTAAAAAGTACCTTTCCAGTCCCACCTAGGGTACCAAGAATAATAATAATAATAAAAGTATCCTACCCAGGGTACTCATAAATTAGACGTAGAAATTTTGGAATCTCACCATTTTTTAGCACAGAAATCTCAGGGTAGAGGCCATGGAGTATGATGAGGCCACTTGACAAGATTCAGCCTGGCAGCTCTCACAGTGGCTCCCAGACTTTTAAGGCTGCGCTCTTCACATTATGGGCTTTTTGTCAAAGGGCTTCTTGAGTGGCCTCTGGGAGCCTCACGTGGCTCTCCTACCTCTCCAGCATGGTTTCCATCCCCTCTGGATTCAGTTCAAGAGCTGGATTTTCAGTATTTCTGGACCTGAATGTGGTATTCCAGCCACCAGATGTCACCTCCTACAAAGATAGACTTATCTAAAGAGTGTTTCTCTCTGCAGTTACTACAGGGACTACACAGATAAAGAAAAAGAAATGTGTCACCGAATGTTCACTCCTAATGATAACGGCTCTACAGTAGGAGAAAATTGAAGGTAATCAAAAGGCTGAAGCAAAAAGGCTTCAGAATTTTGTCCAATATATGGAAGGGTGGTTCTCAGTCCACCAGTGAATACTGGCTGTCTACAATTGAGCATAGATAGAAGGAATAGAAAGTTCTTGTGGGAGATAATGACACAGTGACTGTGTGGAGTACACATACCGTGGGCATTCTCGTGGAGATTGGGAAGTCCAGCTGGAGCTGGAGATTAAATTTATAGGTTTAGGAGGTATTAAGCTTAAAAATTAAAAAACTTTTTCTATGTTTTATGTTAACCTTGCCCTCATAGGAGCTTGGAACATGGAACTGTGAGTATAGTCATTAATATGATAGTTTATCTGGACTTTGAAATAAAGAGGAATGCCTTTTCTTTTCTCTTTAAAGATTTTTATCTATCTACTTGACATAGAGAACACAAGTATGGGGAGCGGCAGGCAGAGGGAGAAGCAGGCTTCCTGCTCAGGGCTTATTAATCCCAGGACCCTGCATGATCTGAGCCAAGGGCACACATTTAACTGACTGAGCCAGCCAGGCACCCAGGAATTGCCTTTCTTTTCTTTTTTCTTTTTCTTTTTTTTTTTTTTAAGATTTCATTTATTTATTCATGAGAGACAGAGAAGGTGGGGAAGGCAGAGACACAGGCAGAGGTAGAGGCAGGCTCCATGCAAGAAGCCTGACGTGGGACTCAATCCTGGGACTCCAGAATCACGCCCTAGGCGGAAGGCAGGCGCTAAACCACTGAGCTACCCAGGGATCCCCGGAATTGCTTTTCTTAATCTGGTTTTTCCCTAAAGCTTCAGTAGCACTTTACATCTAACACGTTAAGGAAGACAAAATCCAGATGTCGAGAGGCAGGGATGGTCAGGGACTCTTAAGTTCTGCTTACTGTTAGTATGAGGGGCTAGAAGGAGTTAGAACTACCCGGGATCAGAACCTAACCTTCCTACTGCAGCAGACGCCCTGTGGTCTAGCAGGCACAGGGTTAAGGTTTCCGTGGGAGTTCATGAGCGGAGTCTTTAGTCTGGTTTACTATTACTTAAGAAAATTAATGGAAACAAAATCACCTGCCTTAAACACCTGCTTAGCTGGGTAGCTAACTCTGCTCTCTTGAGAGAAGTTAAACAAGGAGCAACAAGAAAACAGCTGCCGAATGGGCTCATGGTAATAAATCTCCCCTTTGTTGCTACCTACCTCTCTCTACAAAAGAGATTTGAGAGAGAAGGCAGTGAAAAGACCTATTCATCCCATTTTCACAAGTGATCTAAAAACTGCTGTTCTCTGCCCTGTCAAAAACAACCAGACGGTATCTGAAGTCAGTGTTGCCTTTATCATGGATTCCGACCCTGTGACCTCAGCCTTCAGGTCTTTTGGGGACATTGGAGTATTTGTAGGTCTTCTGAACTGAGACATGAGCCAAAGGGCTTCTCCTCTTTGGCTGCTGTTCATGTCCAACAGGAAGGGAGCTTTGCCGGATTTTTGCCAGACATTTTTGACAGTCATCTGGCATGTCCTGCCATTTAGCGAAGACCCAGTTCTTCCAGGGTCCATCCTGGAAAGAGGCCTTGGAAAATCCATCAGGGCAGCTACTTCTTGTTGTCTCTACCCCACCCCCCTCACCCCCAGCTTTCTCTGTCTCTGAGGCATTTTAGATCTGATGAGTTTGGGGTTTTTTTAAGATTTTATTTGGGAGTTTTTTTTAAAGATTTTGTTTAATTGAGAGAGAGAGAAAGAACGTGTGTGAGTTGAGGGGGAGGGGCAGAGGGAGAAGGAGAAGCAGACTTCCCACTGAGCGGGGAGCCTGACGTGGGACTCGATTCCAAGACCTGGAATCATGACCTGAGCCCAAGGCAGACACTTAGCAGACTGAGCCACCCAGGTGCCCCTGGACCTGATGAGTTTTTAGGTAGTTTCCCAGATATTCCAAAGTCCCAGGTGTTTAGGTCTAAAATGGCCATTCTTGTCCCTTTCCCACCACTGTTGAGATTATAACATATTTTGGCCTCTGGGTCTTTAGTGTTCTGTCATGCTCTCCTTTTGTTGTACTTGTGACTTAGTCACTTAAAATGTCCCAACTTTTCAGATTCTTTTGACAACCTAGTCTTGACAAAATCTGTTCTTCTTTTCCAAGATGTTAAATCCTAGTGGTCTATCTTCAACTTGTCTTGCAAGATATTGATACTTCTGGTGGGATAAGTGTTTTCTCAGTTGTATTCCTGAAGCTCCTTAGAGCAGACTACATTTTTTGAGATCAGAGACCATATCTTTTTTTGGTCTTTGTATTTTATAGCTTCTGGAACTATGCCCGGCACATGATTGGCAGGCACTCAGTAAATGTTGGTTGGATCAAGTGTAAAACAGCTGAAGTGCTAGACCAGCCTCTTTGAAACCATAGCCTCCAGGCTGGCTCTCATATTGGCTGTGAGGATGCCTATTCTCGCCAGTGACTGAAACCTGTCCTCAGCTAGTAGCAGCTAAAAAAGATTCACTAGAAGGATTTGAGGAGCTCACAGAATTGGACTGGTCGAACAGCCAGTACTTGGGCAGGTGGAGACCTAATGTTCTGAAGGCCTCAAGGACCTTGTCTCCCCTCTGCCACATGTTCTCCCACCATAAAGAATGCCCAGGGGTCCCTTCCACAGCCTTTCTATTTGAGAGCCAACTCTTCCTTACCCCACACCTAGCTCTTCTTCCTGCATGAGCCAGGGCTCCAGTTTGAAAAATCCCAAAGCAGGACTCTGGTCTGTTTGGAGTATGTAGAGGCCCATGAGGGGCACCCCTTCCCAGCGCCACAGAGTGGGGGGAGGGGGGGGCAATGACTGTGAAGTAAGAAGCTGTTTGTCCCAGAGATCAAGGGGATGAAGAGAATGGGCAGATAGAAGGGAAGGTGCCCAGCAAGGGTATTTAGCTATTGCAACACTCACTGTTCTCCTGAGTGGGACCTTTCATCTCACTCTAGTGGAGCCAGTAGATCAAATGAGGAATCTCTTGCAGTTTCTACTCTGCCAGCAACTCAGCAGTGCAAAGGAGCAAACACATTATGACTTCCATAGCACCATCTTTTTCCTTAGTTTGGATTTTCAGAGGGCATATCAAACACACATACTCCTGGATGGGCATATTCTTGGGATGAGCTAAGAAGTCAGGCTGGAAATCAGTCTTTTGACTCATGCACATTGGAAGACCTAAAAGGTTCACAGCAAACCCCAAGCTAGTGTTTGATAAACTGTTTTGAAGCTGTCTTCCCTGTGGTTCACAGTGCAGTGAAAGCAGTAATTTGGTGTTTGTATTTGCTATCTTCAAACTTTATTGAATGTTTCCTAACTACCTACTTGGTTAAGACCTCCCATAGCTCTATCCACAGTCCTAGTGGTTTCATCAAGGGCACCAGAGAGCTTTTATAACCACTGACAACGTGACTGGAGACACTTGGTGTTCTAACATTTTTCTTCATTCTGTCTCTGGGTCTTCAGTTAGAGTTTGAGTGTGCCCTTCCTGTCCTAATATGCTAGCATCTGCGACCCTTGCATACTTTATTGTGTCTGGAAAAGAGATGTAAAGTGAGCACTATAGCTATTTTCAGCTATTTAAATGGTTGACATAAAATAAGTGACTTTATCCTGTCATTTCCAAAGGGCAGGACCAGTATAGCAGACCTCTAACAGGAAAAGAAAATTTGGCTTCACATGAAAGATGTACTGATTGTCTTACCTTACATGTCATTAAGTTCCTCCAATATGGGGAGCACACATAGAAAAGGTACTACTGGGCACCCCAGGTGGCTCAGCGGTTTAGCGCCACCTTCAGCCCAGGGCCTGATCCTGGAGACCTGGAATCAAGTCCCACATCAGGCTCCTGGCATGAAGCCTGCTTCTCCCTCTGCCTGTCTCTGTCTCTCTCTCTCTCTCTTTTTCTCTCGCTCTCTCTCATAAATTTAAAAAATCTTAAAAAAAAAAAGGTACTACTTTTGACTGATTTTTTTTAAAGTATTTTTTTTATGATTTTTATTTACTTAGGATAGTCACAGAGAGAGAGAGAGAGAGAGAGAGAGGCAGAGACACAGGCAGAGGGAGAAGCAGGCTCCATGCACCAGGAGCCCGATGTGGGATTCGATCCCGGGTCTCCAGGATCGCGCCCTGGGCCAAAGGCAGGCGCCAAACCGCTGCGCCACCCAGGGATCCCTGATTTTTTTTTTTTTTTTAAAGAATGCTTTGTAGTGAGCATCTGCTCCTGGGCCAGGCTTTTCCACTCTTCTGAGGAAATATGAGTGGTCTTAGGAGCTGGGGTGTTTCCGTTAGGGTCTATCTAGTCAGAGCCACTAGAGGCCCTTTTTGAGGTGGGTGACTGTGATGAGGTGACCTTCTTGGTCCTTCCAACTGCTTACATTCTACTTTGGTAATTGCCATCATTTTCTTGTGGTTTATTCCCTAAAGTACTTTAGTGGGAATGACCTATGAAGTCTTGTGCTTAGCTTTAGAAAAAGCACAGAGGGAAATGAAATGGGAGAGGCCTGGCTGCAGAGCAATGGTGTTGGTTCAAATTGGACCAAATGAGAGGCATAGCTGCCAAAGAAGAGGCCACCGGCGGCCCTTTTTCATTCCTCACTCCTGCTCCAAGGACCCGAACATGGACTGTTCTCAAGCACTATGGTGGGTGCTGGTGGCACGTGAGAAGTCCAGTCCCGCTCTTGCTGCTCTGGTCTGCAGAGCATGCTCTCCTGGAGAGGCCGGGGTGGTCTGTGGACTCCTAGAGCACACAAGAGGAGTGGTATGTGGGGGAGCCTCCTGATCAGAGAGAAGCTCTGGCAGGCAGGCAGGCGAGGGAAGCAGCAGCATTGGACCCAGATGTGAGGGGTGGGGAAAAGACAAGGAATTCAGAGCTGAGGTGAGCTGTGGATCAGGTATTGCCCCAGAATTTCAGTCTTCTTTGGAGTGTTGGCTGTGCTCTGTAGGTATCAGAGGAGGGGCAAGATGTGATCCAGCCAGCTCATGCTAAGCA